GGATTGCTTCACAACCTACGAGCAAATATATGGTGGTAACGTGGTCATGGCAAATGGAGCTGTCTGCAAGGTTGTTGGAATCGGGTCCATAAAAGTTCGGACACATGATTGTTCGTTCTGTACCGTGAATGATGTCAGGCATGTTCCACAAATGACAAAGAACCTGATCTCCTTGAGTCTACTCGACAGCAAGGGCTTTAGTTGCAAAGGAAAAGGTGGAGTTGTGTATGTCTGCAAAGGTTCAAGGAAGGTGATGAAGGGCGTGAAGCGTGGGACCTTGTATGCATTACAAGGGTCGGTGTTGTCTGGTTCTGCTGCAGTTGCATCATCTCAGGTTCATCAGGAAGATATGAACACTCTCTGGCACATGAGACTGGGGCATATGAGTGAACGGGGGATGCAAGTTCTGTCAAAGAGGGATCTTCTTTGCGGGCACAAGATGCAGAATTTGGAATTCTGCGAGCATTGTGTGTTTGGGAAGCTACATCGCAACAAGTTTCCCAAGAAGGGTATCCACCGGACGAAGGGGATACTAGATTACCTCCACTCCGACTGTTGGGGTCCTTCACGAGTTGAATCTATTATAGGCAGCAGGTATTTTCTGTCTATTATTGATGATTATTTGAGATTTACTTGGATTTTCATGATGAAACAGAAAAGTGAGGCTTTCACGAAGTTCAAGCAGTGGAAGACATTGGTGGAGAATCAGACCGGGAAGAAGATCAAGAAGCTGCGAACAGACAATGGTCTGGAGTTCTGTAATTCTGAGTTCAACGAATTCTGCAAGGATGAAGGGATTGCCCGTCATCGGACTGTGAGAGATACACCCCAACAGAATGGCATTGCAGAAAGGATGAACCAAACATTGTTGGAGAGAGCACGGTGCATGCTCTCTAATGCTGGACTAGAGAGAAGATTCTGGGCAGAAGCAGTGAACATGGCGTGCTTCCTGATCAACCGTGGACCTCACACAGGTATCGAGTTGAAGACTCCTTATGAGGTGTGGTATGGTAAGCCTGCTGATTACTCCTCACTGAAAGTTTTTGGGTGTCCTGTTTATTATCATGTGGATGAGGGTAAACTGAACCCAAGGGCAAAAAAGGGTGTATTTGTGGGTTATGGAGATGGAGTTAAGGGATTTCGAGTCTGGTCACCTTCTGAGCATCGAGTTATACTTAGTAGAAATGTGATATTTGATGAGAAGTCTATGTTTAACCCCATGTTGAAGGTTACTGTTGTTGAAGGTAGCAGGAATGTTGATAAGCAGGTGGAGCTGCAAACTCTCAATGAGAGTGAGTTTGAGCACCAAGGTGGAGAAGATCAACATGATGAGAACGTCTCTGCAGAGCCAGAAATTTCAGAGTCCAGTGCAGGAGCTCAACAGTCTATAGCTTCCGGTAGACCAAAGAGAGCGACTGCAGGAGTACCTCCAGAGAGGTATGGTTTCGAGGACATGGTGGCGTATTCATTTCAGGTTGCTGAAGAAGTGGATGCAGGTGAGACACACTCCTATAGAGAAGCCGTTTTGGGTGGTGAAGCTGATCAGTGGCTTGCCGCAATGGGAGATGAGATGGAATCCCATGACAGGAATCAGACTTGGGAGCTAGTCAAACGACCACAGGGAAGGAAGATTGTTACAAACAAGTGGATCTACAAGAAGAAGGAAGGAATCACTTCTAAAGAGGGCATGAAATTTAAAGCTCGGTTGGTTGCACGAGGCTTCTCGCAGAGGGAAGGAGTTGACTACAATGAGATTTTCTCACCAGTGGTCAGACATACTTCGATCAGAGTGCTACTAGCAATAGTGGCACATTATGACTTGGAGCTCGAGCAGCTAGACGTGAAGACAACTTTCCTACATGGAGAGTTGGAGGAAGAAATTTACATGACTCAGCCAGAAGGATTCAAGGTTCCGGGAAAAGAGGACTATGTTTGTAAGCTGAAGAAGTCTTTGTATGGACTTAAGCAATCTCCGAGGCAGTGGTACAAGAGATTTGACAGTTACATGCTTGAGCTGGGCTACAACAGAAGTCCATATGGTTGTGTATATCACAGCAAGGCAGAGGATGGTTAGATGATATGCTCATAGCTGCGAGGTCAAAGTCTGATATCCAGAAGTTAAAGGGGCTTCTCAGTGCTGAGTTTGAGATGAAGGATTTGGGAGCTGCTCAGAAGATCTTGGGTATGGAGATTTACAGGGACATGTCGAAGAAGAAGCTTTTCTTGTCACAGAAGAGCTACATCCAGAAGATACTATCGAGGTTTGGCATGGCTTCAGCAAAACCCTTAAATACTCCAAGTGCTTCAAATGTTCATCTATCCTCAGCTTATGCACCGCAGTCGGAGGCTGAGAAGGAGTACATGTCGAGAGTCCCATATGCTAGTGCAGTAGGTAGCTTGATGTACGCTATGGTATGCACTAGACCTGATCTCGCACATGCTGTTAGTGTTGTCAGCAGGTTTATGACACAACCTGGGAAGGTGCATTGGCAGGCTGTGAAGAGGATCTTCCGGTACCTTAAGGGTACACCTGATGTGGGGATTAGTTTCGGAAGTGATACAGAGTGCTTGGTGTCTGGGTATTCTGACTCAGACTATGCTGGATATGTTGACACGAGGAGATCGATGATCGGTTATGTATTCACTCTTGGGAGTTCTGTAGTGAGCTGGAAGGCAACTTTGCAGTCGGCAGTGACATTGTATACTACTGAGGCAGAGTATATGGCATTGACAGAAGCTGCTAAGGAGGGAATATGGTTGAAGGGACTGGTTGGTGATCTTGGTCTACATCATGATCAGGCAGTGGTGTATTGCGACAGTTTGAGTGCAATATGCTTGGCCAAGGATCAAGTCCACCATGAGAGGACTAAGCACATCGACGTGAGGTATCATTTCTTGAGGACAGAGAAGAGGATTAAGGTGAAGAAGGTTGGCACCGCGGATAATCCTGCTGATATGTTCACGAAGCCGGTTCCACATGGCAAGTTCCAACACTGCTTGGACTTGCTGAATGTCTTGAGTGGGTGACTCCGCCCTGCGGGGCATTGATGGCGGGAGAGAGATAGAAGGATCAGAGTACATCAGAGATTTCAGAGGAAGAGGATTCAAGTCAAGGTGGAGATTTGTTGATGTGACTTGTAACCTTTTCCTTTGCCAGATTAGATTAGGTTTAGACCCACATGGAGAAGTACTATAAATACTTCTCATACTCCTCTGTAATCTGTAATCTCCTCGATCTAGTGAAATTGGCTCTCTCTCGCCCGTGGACGTAGCTAACACACATCGTGTTAGTGAACCACGTAAATCGTGTGTCTGTGTTTTTTTTATTCTCGCTTTCGTATTCTTGCTTTATCGATGCCGGCAATTTCCCGATCCGTAGCAGCGCGTTTATAACAGTCGCCATCGACCTCAATTGTAGTGGGTCGAACACTAATTGGTTCGATTTCAACCTTAGGGTCAAACCGGAATTTTATCTGCGACATTTAAGATAATGGATTTGGGAGTACGGTTACGTGTAAGAAAGTGTATTCACACCCCCACGACGCCAAAATTGGTACTATTTTAATCGATAAGTATTTTTAAGGGTTCGGTGTATTATAAATGGCTATTTGTTTACGTATTTGGTTATATGATTCAATTTATTATGTGTTTATTATTGGCTAAATTACACGTTTGGTCACTCAAAATACATAAATCTTTCATGTTTGCCACCCGAATTACTTTTCTTTCATATTCGCCACTAACTTTCCAATTCGTTTCACGATCAGTCACCGACCGTTAATCTCCATTAGATTTCGTTAACTCCGTCAGTTTTTTTATGACATGGTAAATGAAATTATTCAGTTGGCTGACAAATTAATGAGTTATGCAATTTGACCATTTAGTCAGCAACAACACCCAACCTAGCAAAAAAAAAACTAAAACTAAAAACTAATTAAAAAACCCCCCAACCCAGCAATAACCCCCTTTCTCGATTGGGACCAGAGAGACAAGAGGGCTCGACAACACCCCTTGCTCTTCCATCCCGTACCCGACGAGTAGAACAGTGTCGCCGCGCTGCTCTGCTTCACCTCTGCCTCCCGCAGCTCTGTTTCCGCTTCTCCCTCACCGGCCGATCAGTTCCGACTTCCGAATACCGCCAAACTTTCCATGTCGCGTTGAATTTGGCAGGACCAGAGGAATCATTGAGCAGAATCAACGTCAGATTGAAATCGGTGACAGTGCTGTGATGGTGTTGTGTCTTTGATTATACATAGCATCAACATTCTAATCTTCTTCCGACCCGCGAAACATGCAGAACCGAGGATTTCCGTCTCCGAGCGGATCCCCAATGAACCTCCATTCATTGTCTCTCCTCCTTTAACCCCATGCCACAATAGCTTAATCCCACCGTCATCTCATCTCCCTTTCTCTCCCCCTTACATCAAGAAAACCCAAATCTCAATATATTACCCAATGAACTTCAAACTTCGAACCCAGAACGAGAGAGACACTTGAATCAGATGAGAAGGAGATTGAAAAAAGAAATCCACCAATTTCTAATTTGGTTCGATTGGCAGGTTGGGTGGTGGAGGAGTTGAATAAGAATTGATGGGTTGTCAAGATGATAAAGATGAAGAAGTCGAAGTCCATGAAGGCGAAGCAAGAGGTGCAGAGTTGGAATGAGCTGATCGATTTGAATTGAAGAAGACAGCTGAAGAACTTGTTACGGACTTGAAGACGATTCGTTGTATGGGAAACGTTTCGAGCCTTCGTCCGAGACGCGACGTCGTTTTCATTTGTAAGTGGAGTTGGTTCCACATTAGCCTATCGTTGTTCACCACGTGTTTAGGTGAATTTGTTTTTCTGTTTTATTTACCGTTGGAGAACAGTAAAACTGGAAAGTGATATAAAAAGCGAACAACCCTGTAGCTGCTTCCTTTGCGGGTTTTCGATCAAACCTTTACCTTCTCTCCATTTTCTACATGGTATCAGAGCCCCAGATCTGATTCTCGTCGATAATGGCTACCGGTACTCCTGCGACGCCTCCTCCTGGAAGTGGCGGTGGCAGTGGCACTTCCACTGGCGGCGGCTTCCAATTCGGCAGCTTCATTGAGAATCAGATACAGGGAGGCAGAGGTGAGATCCAGTTTGGTAACCCTTTCTATCTTAATCCAAACGAGAATTTGTCTCAGTCGCTCGTCGGTGAGGCCCTGGATGGTACTTACTACTCTATGTGGAGTCGCTCGATGCGCTTGGCGTTGAAAACCAAGCACAATCTGGGTTTCATTGATGGGTCTATTCCTGTTCCCCCAGCTGGTAGCGATCTCTTTCATTTATGGTATGGTTGTAACACAGTAGTTCTTTGTTGGATTGTAAATTCCTTGAAGAAGGAAATTGCTTGGAGTGTTATGAATCATGAGAATGCTCGCATTCTTTGGGAAGAGTTGAAGAGACGTTTTGGGCAACCTAATGCGTTGCGTATTATCAATCTAGAAGATGACATTCATGCTTGCAAACAGGGTGATCGTACAATTACTCAGTACTACACAGAAATCAAAGGGTTTTGGGAAGATTATCTGCAATTCTCACCCATTGTTCCTTGTCCTTGTGCTCCTAATAACCCCAATCCTTGCCCTGCTGTAGTTGCTTTCCAAACTAAGCAAGAGACAGACTATCTGATCCGCTTCTTAAGAGGGCTTAACAAGGAATATGAAGTTGTTAAGACCCAATTACTCATGATGAAGCCTTTGCCCACTGTTACCGCTGCTGTTGATGATTTGCTCTTACATGAACAAAAGCTCAAGGGGGATCAGACTAGGTCTAAACACAGTCAATCTGTTGCTCTGGCTGTTGGCAATCAATCTGGGAGGGATCAGTACAAAGGGAGGCAGGAGGCAGGATCAGGAAAGCTTTTTTGTCGATACTGTAAGCGTACAGATCACACCATCAAAGATTGCTGGAAGCTCAAGAAGAAGGAACAAGAGAAAGAAGGATTTTCTGGCTCCATTTCTACTGACAGTGCAGCACCTTCTTCTGAGAGTACTGGTAGCATTTCTGATGATGGTTCTAGTCCTTCTAAGGGTGTGAATGCCTTCTCCACTGATGAAATCACACGGCTTAAGACTCTTCTTCAGTTTGGCATGGATGCTGGGCCATTATCACCAGGTAGCTCACCAAGGATTACCCCAAAAGCTTATTCTGTGTCTCAATTCTTACCTGCATTTCCAAATCATGCTGGTAAGTTTATCCTCTCTTCACACAGTACACTGAATAAGTCAGTTTTGAGTACTATCTAGATTCTTGACACTAGGGCCTCAGATCATATTACATGCTGTTTTGACTATTTTTCTGATTCTTCTGAAGTCCTTAACACCTTTGTTTACTTACCTAATGGACAAAAAGTTCTAGTGAGCCATGTAGGAACAGTTCACCTCCCCTCTGGTCTTGTCTTACAAAATGTCCTACTCGTTCCTAGTTTCACTTTTAACCTCATTTCCATTAGCAAGTTGACCTCAGACTTACCCTTATCTTTGCACTTCCATTCTTCTGTGTGTGAACTCCAGGACCTTCAGACCCAGAAGAGCATTGGTTTGGCAAAACAAAGTAAAGGGCTATATCTTCTTGATCTTTCCACTCTCTTGCCATTCACTTCAGTTCCCCCTTCTTCTCATCAAGCTGCCTTCACCTACAATCTTCAACCACAAGACATTAATCTATGGCACTGGCGCTTAGGTCACCTCAGTAGAGATAGATTTCATCTTCTTATGAAACAACATAATGTAACTCACAATGAACCTGTTTCTCATTGTGAGACCTGTCATCTTTCCAAACAACGTAAACTTCCATTTCATGTTAATGATATGACAGCTTCTGAACCATTCACTCTTGTTCATGTTGATATTTGGGGCCCCTTGTCAGTTAAATCTTATGATGGCTATAGTTACTTTTTGACAATTGTGGATGATTTCAGTAGAGCAGTTTGGGTTTACTTGATGCACACAAAAGGGGAAACTCGTGATTTGTTACAAGGTTTCTGTCAGTTAGTGAAAAATCAGTTTGGAAAGTCAGTTAAAATCATTCGTAGTGACCAAGGCAGTGAGTTCCACATGACTGATTACTACAGAAGCAATGTCATTGTACACCAAACCTCATGTGTTGAGACACCTGAGCAGAATGGGAGAGTTGAGTGTAAGCACCAGCACATTCTCAATGTAGCTCGTGCTTTGAGGTTTCAATCAGGAGTTCCTTTGAAATTTTGGAGTGCATGTATATTACATTCAATCTATCTGATTAACAGGCTTCCCACACCTGTCCTTAACAACTCTTCTCCATACCAACTGCTTTTCCAAAAACCTCCTGACCTTCATGTTTTAAAGGTCTTCGGTTGCCTTTGCTATGCTTCTACTTTGGTCCATGGTCGAACTAAATTCCAAGCCAGGTCTACACAGTGTGTTTTCCTTGGCTTTCCTGCTGGTGTTAAGGGTTATACTCTCTTAGACCTTGATAATAAGAGACTATTTATTTCCAGGAATGTTATTTTTCATGAAAACATTCTTCCTTTTCGTTCTTTTTCTTCTGACCCACCTACTTCTCCTCCTGCTCCACCTCCTACCTCTCCAACTACAACACCTTCTTCCATACCAGTTTACCAGCCTTACAATTATTCCATTGAGGGATCAGGGGGGCCAGTCCTTCCACTTCTACTTCTTCTCCCTCAATGTCTCCTTCTCCTCCACCATCCAATCCTTCCACTACTTCCCATTCTGGTCACACCATTTCTCTTGGTATTTCTCCTAGTGCTGCTACTGATGAAGTTGTTCATATGGATGATGATTTTGTTGATAATGGTAATGATCCACCTGAGCTAGAACTGCAAGAGGAATTTGAAGGCAGGCCTATTCGAACTAATAGAGGGAAAATGCCAGCAAGGTTTGATGATTATCATGTTGGAAGTGTCAGTAAGTATCCCATGGAACAATACTTGACACTTGATCAACTATCACCAGCTGATAGAAGCTACATTTTGAGTGTATTACATGAAGTAGAACCAACTTCCTATCAAGAAGCAGCAGCTAGTGAACATTGGAACAGGGCAATGAATGAGGAAACTCAAGCCTGAGAAGAAAATCATACTTGGGATGTAGTTGTTTTACCTAAAGGAAAGAGAGCCATTGGTAATAAATGGGTGTTTAAGATCAAAAGAAGACCAGATGGGAGCATAGAAAGGTTCAAAGCAAGGCTGGTGGCAAAAGGTTTCACATAGGTTTATGGTATAGATTTTTTAGATACTTATTCACCAGCAGCTAGTGAACATTGGAACAGGGCAATGAATGAGGAAACTCAAGCCTGAGAAGAAAATCATACTTGGGATGTAGTTGTTTTACCTAAAGGAAAGAGAGCCATTGGTAATAAATGGGTGTTTAAGATCAAAAGAAGACCAGATGGGAGCATAGAAAGGTTCAAAGCAAGGCTGGTGGCAAAAGGTTTCACATAGGTTTATGGTATAGATTTTTTAGATACTTATTCACCTGTGGCTAAAATCAACACTGTGAAAGCCTTACTAGCTGTTGCTGCAACCAAAGGATGGGTTTTGGATCAGATGGATGTCTCCAATGCATTTCTGCATGGAGACCTTGAAGAGGAAGTACATATGGTGTTACCACCAGGGGATCCAAGGGCAAAAGGTCCTGAAAAACTTGTTTGTAGGTTGCAATGTTGTCATAACCGAACCGGAGCATGACCCGGTAATACGAACGGCTCGCACTTTAGTGGTTCAACCGGCATTAAACCGTTTAAAAACCGTTAGAGAACCGGTACCTAATAAACGTTATCAGTATAAATAGTGGACATTTCTTAATCAGAGATCATCTCTTTCCTTCGAAATTGTGAAATGGAAATAAGGATTCAATTTGAGAGCCCGACGTTTTGGTTTTTTTCAATTTTCTATAATTATTTTAATTAAATTTAGTGGTTGAATGGCAAAAACCGGGCGAGCGGCTCGATCGGCTCGAACGGCTAACCGCCTCGGCCGCTCGCCAACCGCTACATAAAACCGAAGCGGCTTTTAGACTGTTCCGAGGCGATTTTGTGACCGGATGGCTGCTTCCTTTGCGGGTTTTCGATCAAAACCTTTGCCTTCTCTCCATTTTCTACATGGGTTCGCAGATTTCTATCAAACGCAGAATTCTAAAAAAAATAAAGTGATGGGCTTATGGATTTATGGATTTGGTTTGATATTGCGGAGGTAATCCACGGTGAAGAGGTCGGGACGATGTGCTTGCGTAGGTAATTCATGGCTAGGTCGTTGTAACTGAGGTGAGGGAGGATCGGAACAAGAGAGCGGTGCAGAATCGCGAGCAGAGACGGCCTGGTGTTTGAGCCGACGACGAAAACGGCGACTGGATCGGCGGAAACGAGGTGTAGGGTGAGAGGATCAGGGTGGGGTGTTAATTTTTTAATTTTTAATTTTTTTAAATTGACATATCATTAAGTTAACTGTCCAGCCAGTAGTCTCGTTTGCCACGTCATCAAAAACTGACGGAGTTAACGGAATCTAACGGAGACTAACGGCTGGTGACTAACTGTGAAACAAATAGTAAAGTTAGTAGCGAATGTGAAAAAAAAGTAATTCTAGTGACAAACGTGAAATATTTATATAATTTGAGTGACCAAAAGTGTAATTTAGCCGTTTATGATTAAGATCTAATCATACGTCTATTGACGTAATTCTCAAAATTAAGAAAGAGTTTTTATTAGTTAGACTCGAACCTATTGGTTGCCTACGTACCTGATTTTTTTAAGAGACCTAAACACGTTTCTATTGATGCCACCGTAAAGGGGTGGCTCAAGACGACGATGAGCAAGGAAGTCAGAAACAGTGTTTGCGACGCACATATCGCGTATGATATTTGGGTTGATCTTCAACAGCGTTTCGGGAAGGGCTCGGCCACGCGAGCTGATGAGCTGCGCAGAGCTATGTTTTGTTGCAAGAAAATTATTTACGTCTAATAAAAGTGGTAGTGTCACCATTCCTGTCATTAGAGCTAATGACAGATACTCAAATGTAATGTTCCATGTCATGTATGCTTGTCATGTCAATTGTTGTACACTGAGTCATATATACTACAAATGTCAGGAAGAAGATCTATAACATAAATTGAATCAATATTAATATCTAAAGGACTAATGTTCATATCACCCAGAATAATATTCATATCGCCTGTATGAATACTTGTTCGTCTGTATAAAGAATATGTGATCATACAAGTGAATACTAGTTCATGCAATCTGAATACATCAAAGTTTCAGCTCAACTTCTTTTCATCACAACAAAGTAGCCAATCTCATGTGATGTTTTAGTGAAATTTTGAATATTGTCACGGTCAATAACTATATTTGAGGTTATGTAATGTATTAAAGTCAACGAACTGTATATTTCTCCTGCTTATATGTTGGGGGGACATCAATCTTAATTTGCATAAGGAGAGGGGAGGCCAAGCATGCCTTCTGCAACATGTGGACCTATAGCACAAGGAGAGGGGATCAATCCTACATAACGTAGTTAAATGGACCTGCAGCACAAGAACATGGCATTTAGTGCTACCTTCCAACTACTCTCTCTCATGTCGTATCTCTTGAGGTCGTGAATACTAGTTGTAGTAACCAGAATACCAGTTAAAACAATTTGAATACAAGTTATACGTGTATTTGGCTTTCTCAGAGTCTAATACTTGTTAAAAACGTTTGAATACTAGCTCGAAGGTTTTAAATACTTGTTACACACTTATCATTACTACTTCGCAATGTGTCATACGAACTCTATGACAAGTTTTGATGAACTAGCATCCATGTGTGTTTTGATCTATTGTTCATGACGTTTTAAGCTAGTATCCAAGTTGTTTTGAACTAGTATTCATGGTGGTATTCACATTGTAATGAACACTTAGCATTCCTGATGTTGTGACCTAGTATTCTTATTTTTATGAACTAGTATTCAAAATGCCTGACCTAGTATCCATGGGTGTTTAAGTAGTATTCACATTTTGTTGAACACTTTTTATTGAACACTTGGTAATAATATGAGTTATATGAATATTAGTCTTGGCGATATGAATATTACTTCAGGAGATAATAATATTAGTTCAATTTGTGTTACATATATTATTCTCGACATTTGTAGTATATATGGCTCAGTGTACAACAGCGGACGTGGCAAGCATACATGGCATGAAAAAAATACCTTTGAGTACTTGTCGTTAGCTATAGAAATAAAAATGTTGATGCTACAACTTTCATTAGACGTAAATGCTTTGCTTGCATTAAGTCGTACTCAGGTGGTCACTATGCAACAAATAGTAAACTTAAATGACACCCGATATAATTAATCTTTGCCCCGCCTAAGTGACCACTATATGTCGTCTCAAAACAGATCAAACAGGTAGATAAAACGAATGAGGTAGATATTACCATCCTAATCATGATTGGCAAAAACCAATTATCTTTTCATTGCAAAAGCCCACTTAATATAATAACGAAGCGATTTTGTAATGATTTGGACGTACCGTGTCAGCTCAAACTCTGGTACCTGGTTTTAACAGTCTGACCAGCCGACACATTATTGTTTATAAAACCATGCATCTCTTATTTTTTATTCTTACATCAATTTCATTCAACCACTTCTTCTATAATTGGAAAATTAAGCTATAATTAGCTAGTCGATTAGTAATAATAAACAGAATAACAAACCAATTTTTTTAGGGAAAAATACTAATTATTAGCCAAAATTTTCCGCATTCGTAATTATAAACAAAATTATCGAATTAAAAATAATTAATCAAATGTTAACTCTCCGTTAACAGTTTTGTTAGTAATGTTAACTAAGCATCACGATACTAAGAACATCCACATCAAGCTATCATATTCAATTTCAAAGTGATATGAAATGAAATGCAATTGCATTTTAAATTGCATTGATGAAAGTTCATATTGCAACAATGAAAGCTACCATTTCATGCAATTCCATTTGCAATTCCACATAGGCATCCATGGATTTTTATTTATTTAATGTATAGATAACACGATAAAACCTTTTATTTTAGGGCTAATACAATATATTATCCACAACTATTAACAAACGGGGAATTATATCCATAACTATCGAAATACAAAATAATAGCCACAACTATTATTGCGAATCATGAAATGGATAACTGTCTGGATCTCCGTTAAATTTTATAACGGAGACTGCCACTTCACCATTCCACGTCAGAATATTAAAACAATAATATATTAAAATAATCATTATTATTAAAAAAAAAAACCCCGACCCGTCGGCGAGCCTGCGGCCGTTCGCATTCCCCCGACCCTACCCGGAAAAGGGTGGAGAGACGCTCGCCCCCGGGGACCCGGATTCGGCCGTCCGGACGGCCTGCGTCGTGGCCGCCGCCGCCATGTCGTCTCAGGTCACGCATCCTCCCTTCTCCACCGTCTCGAAGCCGCTCATAGAGATGGTGACTGTGGAGCAAGATCTGAACTCCCAGATCGGAGCCGCGATGTGCCTGGCGGCGACGATTGAGGCGGCGCCGGAGCCAGAGGTTGAGCAGCTGAGGAAGGTGTTGCCTAGGCTGGGTAAGCTGGTGAAGGGAGAAGGATTCAAGGCCAAGACAGAGGACGTATTCGGCAGACGACGTCGACGAGCTAGAGGTTGATTCGAAGAAAGTTGCTGATGTTGGCGAATTATTTGAGGGAGAAAGAACGAATCTGCGCAAATTAAACACTCCAGGTCAGCCAGAAATCGAAGAACTTGGTGCTTTGACCAACTGCGATGGTGCCGGGAAACTCTGTTTTTCGACGTCAGAACAGGGCAGGAGAGAGGTTGATTTGGTCGGGGCTTCGGGGCACCTTCGAAATCAACCAGCGCCGCCGACCTCGTCCAAACAACCCCATAAATCTTTTCCCTAGGTCGGATCGGCTCGAATCTGTCTGACTTGCACAATCCAAATCGAGTTCATGTACCTCTGGAAACGCAAGAACAAGCAGAAAAATTAGGACGGGGGCGGAGAGGAAGGAGAGAGCGGCGGATTTTCCTTTCTTGTCGGTGGCGGCGGCGGAAGGAAATCGCTCTTGTTGATGTTGTAGACCGGCGGCTGGTTCTGGCTCTGCGGCGGTTGGGAGGAGGCAGGGGGCATCGGCGGTGGAGGACTTCTCTTTTGTTTTTGTTTTTCCTTTTTGACCTGCTTATGTGGCATTTGTGTTGACTGCCACGTCAGTATAGCATCTGCAAATTCACCATAATCTAACGGAAGTGTTAACGGAGACTTAACAGTTGGCTATTATTTTGTATTTCGATAGTTATGGATATAATTCCCCGTTTGTTAATAGTTGTGGATAATATATTGTATTAGCCCTTTATTTTATTAACAAATAAGTTGTGCCCACGCCCCACGTATACAATTGCAAGTGAATTGCACTGACGTAGGTAAATCATAAATGAAAATAATGAAATATAAATATGGAATTGCAGGTTTTAAATATGGATTTAGGGTGGATTTTTGTGTTGTTGTAGAAGCAAGTGAGGGGCGGATGGTGCACGGAGATGATGAATAGAAGAAGAAGTTTGAATTTGTATTGTTGTTAAGATCCGAATTGAAGAAGGAAACCCAGGAATGGAGAAGAAATGAATGACGCACGAGGAAAAAGATTGAAGAAGAAGTTTAAATATATTTTGTTTTGTTTGTTTCAGTGCTTTATTTAAAATTGTTAATTAAAATTTAATAAAAAATATTTTATTAGTTGAGCTGACGTTGATGTGTCAAACAAGTGGACCGACGATTATCTTATGTGTATCTCTGTTAATTCTAACATTAACTTTAACAGAAGATATCTAATATTTTGTGACTTTATAAAAGGTTTGGCTAATATTTTGTATTTTATAAAGTTTGATTAATATTTAAATTGAGAAATAAAATTGGCTAAAAAATAGTACTTATTCATTTTTTATTATTGTTAGTTTGTTAATGCTAAATTCTTTGTATTTTAATTTTCTGATAATGAAAATTATTATATGGTTATTCATGGGCAAAAAGAAATTAAATATTTGAAAAAGGAAAGGAAAAAAAAAAGAAACCGAAAAAGAGCTAGCGAGAAGCAGAAAAGCAGGAGAGAGAGAGCGGGGGGTGGATCGGGAAGAAGAGTGAGGAGCAAAGCTTCATCTCAGGCTCAGCAGCAGCAGATCCCATTATTCCTCCTCTCTCCTAGTTCCATCTTCATTCCCCAGCCCATTCCCCGTTTCGCCATTTTTTGGTCACATTGAACTCCCTTCGTTGGCCGCCATTGCTGCTTCTCACCTACTCTGCCCTTTTGTTTTTCTCTCTCGGGTACTGAAGCCTCTCCTCTCTATCGCTCGCCTATCTGTCTGGTCTATTTTGTTCTTTTCCTTTTCTGATAATCTTGTTTGGGGTGTGGTGGGTGTAGGTGTCTCCGCTAGCTAATCGACGCTGCTTGCCTGCCTGCTTATGAATCTCCGTTGATTTGAGAGAGAGAGAGAGAGAGAGAGAGAGAGAGAGAGAGAGAGAGAGGCGACTCCATTGGCTGTTTGTTCGGGTCGGGCGACTCGCCGAATCTCGAATCGGTCAGTCCCTGGCCTGCCCACCTCACTGCCGCCTCGCCTCGCCTCGCCTCCCCCTTCCTTGCTTTGAGATATCCGACCACCCCCCATTTCCCTCCTAGACTTCTTCTCCCACTTCCTTCACACCCATTCCTCACTTGGATTCCCATTGCTCCACAAAGTAGAAAAAAGGGGGAAAAGGAACGGAATCAAGGAAGCCGATTTCGCTTCCTTTGCTTACTACCGTTGCCGTTGGAGGTGCTTTCTACCCCTTCCCCTTTCCCTCTAAAGCATACCGCTAGGTTGGAAGCGGCGACGGAGCTTCAGATACATCTCTCTCTCTCTCTCTCTCTCCCGCCTTAGCCTTAGCCTTGCTGCAGTTAGCTATCCCCGCCCCTGTTCTCTGTTACTATCCCCCTATGAATCTGCCTCCCATTACCATCCATAACACCAAACTAATTGATTTCTTACGACATTTCTGCCAATCTCCTCTGTTGGGGAATTTTTATATACTTGTGTGAGATTCAGCATATCATAGTTATCTTCCTCCTCCGACTGGGAAATGAGGCTTCTTCTACTGCGACGTATGGCGATGCTGCTCCTCTCTTTGCCTTTCCTGTGCTCCCTCCACCTGCTGCATAGTACAGCGCAGCAAACTCCCCGCGACCTTGACGCCCTCCTCCAAGACTATGCCTTGAGAGCATTTGTCCGTCCAAAGACCGGCCTCACTTACGACGGCCTGCTTCCTTCCAACTTGTCCGGGATTCAGATTGCGGCCATGCGCCTCAGGAGCGGCAGCTTGCGGGCCCGCGGCGTTGCCTCCTACAAAGAGTTTCAGATACCTCAGGGAGTCATCGTGCAGCCCTACGTGGAGCGCCTCGTCTTGGTCTACCACAATTTGGGCAACTGGTCGCTTGCCTACTACCCTCTCCCTGGCTACAACTACCTCGCTCCCCTCCTGGGTCTCCTTGCCTACGATGCTTCCAATCTGTCCGCCACAAATCTGCCGGAGCTGGATTTCAGAGCATCTGGCAATCCTATAACCATCAGGTTCCCGGACGTCAAGCCTGCGCCTCCGGGGTCCGTACCAAAGTGCGTTTGGTTTGATTTGAATGGATCCCCGAGTTTCAGCAATGTGGTGGCCGGCGGGGATGTGTGCTCCACCGCCCAGCAAGGACATTTCTCTATAGCTGTTGAGTCAGTTGCTCCATCACCGGCGCCCGGAATATCACCTTCTCCAACTGGGGTGCCCTTACCTCGCGGTCAAGGGAAGAAGGGGAGTAACTCCAGCACCAAGGTTTTGATTATAGTAGGTTCTGTCCTGGGAGGGTGGCTGCTACTGTCACTTCTGGTGTTCCTGGTGTTGTGGCTGCGCAAGCTGAAGCGAAGGAAGAGGATGCAGCAAATGGAGAGAGCTGCTGAGGCTGGGGAAACCCTGCGAGTTACACCTGTTGGGCAAGCCAAAGCTCCAGTAGCAATGGTGACGAGGACGCAGCCCAGCTTGGAGAGTGAATATGTGCCATAAACTAAACCCACCCACATCTGTTGCACAAGCCGACATCCCACAAATCATTCTTGCTCAAGGTAAAAGGATTGCTTGCTTTGCTACAGCAACTTAGAAATTCTTCTGTGATTGAATTGAACCCGGCTTCTGTTTTCGACTTTCTGATTCTTTTGTTTAAGGTAGTGGGTCTGTCGGCCTCCTTGTTGGTTATGATTATGAAGTGGGTATGACGAGATCCAATTCTGGTCATGTCATTTTGTGTAAATGTGATGTCACTCTAGGGGTAGATTAGGGGTTGCTGAATTATGATTCATTGTGGTGTTGATCGAGTTTTAAACCAAGAGGGATTCCATTCATTTACATTTGCCTATGTGATGAGTTTCAATATGGATGCATTTTGTTTTCATTTGGACGAGGAAATAAAACATTTTTCTTGTGCATTACGTTTCAATGCTGCTTCCTGGAAATGCCAACTGTCTGCAGCTGTTCATTGTGCAAAATAGAAAGAAAACAGAGGAGAGAAGCAGTAGGGTAGGATGAAGGGATTATCAGTGCAAGCCGCAAGGACAAAAGAAGTTTGGAATTCCATTTCTTTAATAATTGTCCGGTTTAAAGTAAGTTCCCACCATATTATTCTGCATAGACTTAAACCAAGATTATTAGGAATATGGAAGCAACAAAACCAACAAACATGCCACCACCACCAAGGCTCCACCCAACATGCCCACTATCAATTACTCGTGCGCGTTGCTGCAACTGCAACTGCTACTCTTCCCTCACTTCTCTCTATCTGTTTACAGACATTTACATTTTGCCATGTCCTACGTATTCAGAGCGCAAGCTATCATCACAGAATCCAGCCCACTCTCCCACATTCACTTCCCTTCCTGCCCAGTTTCCTGAGGCGCATCACCCTCAGCCTCTGGCATCTGATCTAAAGGGACCTAACACACACAATCAGTTCCTAGAAGAGGGCACATCTATTTTCTATCATATGTCGGTACTTCCCCTCCCTCACTGTTATTGTATTCGCATCGACATGTTAAGTTAACAAACCTCATGCAAACAATGAGATGATGAAACAACATGGCCACTGACCTGAATTCATATGTTTGTCCGTAGACCAACATTACACCCATATCATGGAGGAAGAAAGTCTCCAGTCAAAATAATACTACACCAAAATATTCATGGCAATGCCACCCACACTTGGGAAACACACACGGCTGAAATGAAAGCAACAAATGTCTCCTAAGATCTTCTTCAGCATCCATCATGCGATCACTTTATTCCTCTGACAGACTGTTCCTCATCCAGTTGCAGCCCCAATGCCTGAGACATCATAAAGATTATGCTTCTCCACATCAATGATTCATGCATATGCAAACATGGATATCGAAAGGGCAGTGGGGAAAAGGAACACCATAAAACCTTGCCCAACAGCTAAACACCACAAACTTTGACTTGCTATCGGCATAACACTAATTTTCCATAATCTACCTCCACCAAGCATATCAACTGATGTAGGTACAAATGTGACTCGTAAGATCACAGAAATGGAACACAACTAATCATTCTTGTTGAAGCACTTTCTCAACACCATCAATTATAGATGTGTAGAAGGGTGCTAAACCGACCTACAGTTGCACACAATATATACGTGCTAACAACTGCCTTTTACCAACTCTTATTCTTTCAGGATCATTCAATAAACAAATAATAAGTCCATTCTATCCATTCACTTTCTCATGGCACAGAGCGGCTCAGCAAGAACCCCTTATGATTCAGCACATTCCTTCATTTTTTCCACATTCCATGAATGAGTTTTACAAAGCACAGCAAATTTACTATCCTTGCCTCTTGTCCTTACAAAGGTTACGCACACACCAAATAGAACAGCAGATTATCCTATGAGAGGATTCCAAGGCAGTCATAATTCCCAGGCAGAAGGCAAAAGCTAGACCATTTGTTTATTTTTGCGTGAAGTCACTACTCACACTAATACTAACAAGGATCCACAGTTTGATCTAGGTAGAACCTAAAGGGGAAACCTCTCGCCCAAGTCATCACCACCATGACACTAAAATAATGAAGGGACAGATTAAGAGATAGAGGTCAGAACTTCATATGCTGGTTTCCAATAATGTACCGTCTTGTGAGCATTCAACCTAAACTAAACGCAAGGCCATGCCACTCACAACCAGAACCAATCACAACGCTTGTAGGCTTAATAACAGCATCAATTGACCATTTCACAATAAACAAGGATAGGTTATATGTTGGCTATGCAGCAACCATCTACTGACCAATAATGGACGGTAAGGCTACAAATCCATTTCGCAAACGGAACTGCGCTGAGTAGCCGCATCATTGCATCATAATTGTCACCAATCGTACGCGTGCGTCTATGGATGTAATGATTTAATCAAGCAATTTGTCTTGAAAGCAAGAGGAGGATGCGATGTAATACAGAGATAAGTAAGGGGCAGAAACTAGGGTTCAAAAGAATTACCGAGGATCTAATCCGAAGGAGAAGACAAATTCTCGACAATTTTCTTATCCCTTCGTTCCATGGCGACATCCCACATGTCGTTACCGATGTGCTTTGGCTGCGTAAGAAGAAACACGGGGAGTATTCAGGTCAGGGGATATAGATGAGCAGAGAGAGAAAGAGAGATCTGATCGGAAAGAGGAATACAGACCCTGCCATGGAAGGCTTTGTGAATGTAATACTGTGAGTTACCCATGATACAGAGCATCCCGCCGATGATCCCCAGCGGCAGAGCTGCTTCCAACCACACCCACGACATCGTTGCTCCTTCGGCTGCTTCTCTGGATCGCGATATCGGCTGAACTAGAATCGTTTCTTGGCTTCTTCCTTCCTTCTTTCGATAATTGAGAATGACGCCGGGGAGTTTTGTTTTGGGTTTGGCGGGCTTCTATCATTTCCGCTCAATTATACTGGGCCTCGGGGCCCATCAATATGCAAACTGCTTGCTGGTCCGTAATCAAACCAAAATTTTGCTCAGGCCCGCGAAGCATGAGTGGGACCCACAGCCTAACTGCCTTTCGGCCTTTTTTAACCATTGTTACTACTCACTAGTTAGACTAACTCCAACCTACAAAGTCAAATTTAGATTTTCAAACTCAATTTTCACTCCAATCCTAAAAAAGTAAATTTAACTTCTCACCTTCTTTTTTTATTTATTTCAATAAACAATACTTATTTTGCCTCTAATTTTTATATTTCACTTTCATTTTTTTATAATTTTTGTATAATTTTAAAACTAAATTTTTTATATAAAAAATTATGAGACAAATTTGTTTTCGAAAAGCTCATTTACAATCTATGGAGCTCCATGCAGTTCAAGTATCAAGGTAATGCTAGAGTTAGAAAAGCTCATTCACAATCTCTTCGTAGGAACTTTGAAATTATGAGGATGAAGGAAGAAGAAACTGTTAATGATTACTTTGGTCGAGTAATGGTGGTGGCCAATTCCATGAGGAATCTAGGAGAGCAGATGATTGATGTAAGAATTGTGGAGAAAATATTGAGAACTCTGACTGAAAAATTCAACTACATAGTGTGTTCTATAGAAGAATCGAAGGACATAGACACACTGTCAGTTGATGATCTCCAAAGTTCTTTGCTGGGCCATGAGCAAAAACTCATAAGAAAAGGCAACCAAGGATGAGCAGGCCCTAAAACCAGATAGTGAAAATGGTGGAAGAGGTCAGGATCAAGGTGGCTTTAAAGGAAGAAGTACAAGAACCTGGAATCAAGAATTTATTGAATGCTATAAGTGTCATCGAATGGGACACTATAGAAATGAGTGTCTAGAATGGACCAAGCAACAACGACATTTCTCCAATGCATCTGCAAATTGTGAAAACATCACCTACGAAGACATGAAAGAGAATGTTTTATTAATGGCTTGTGCTGAAAATGAAAAGAAAAGAGAGTATTAGGTCCAACTAACAACTATGGATGACCATCAGAGTGAGAGTTGATGGTTTTTGGACTCAATGTGTACTAACCACATGAGTGGTAACAAGGAATGGTTCACTAACTTTGACAACAGCTTCTCTTGTACTGTTAAGTTAGACAATGGAACCAAGATGAAAGTTGCGGGAAAAGGATGCATCAAGATGAGGGTAAAGAAGCTCTCAGTAGTGTTTCAGAATGTGTACTATGTACCAGGTTTGAAAACCAACTTGTTGAGCATTGGTCAAATGCAAGAAAAGGGCCTGATCTTTCTTATCAAGGGTGGGGTTTGCAAGGTCTTTCATGATAAGAAAGGTTTCCTGTTTCAGACAAGGATGAAACACAACAGAATATTTGTATTGAATCCTGAGTTTGTTGTATCACAAACATCCACTGATGTGCAATGCTTGTGCATTCAAACTAATGAAGGTGAGATAGATTGTCTTGGAATGGATGGTAACACTTCAGCTCAGGAATCAATAGAGACAAACTCACAAGTAGACATGACAGCAGTGGTAGCAACAGATGGAAAGCATGAGAAATATGGATGGTTATGGAATTCAGAAGTTTCAGAAGAATCACTATGTGAAAGTTGTGAAGATGAAGTGTGTGATTTGTTTAAGGAAACTCAACTTGAAGTAGCCGCAGCAGATCCAATAAAAACCATAGCAACGGGTCTCGTTTTGCTAGCTTTGATGGTCAGTTCACAGAAGAACAAAATAGTACAAGGATTATCAAAGCTAAAAAAGACTATTGCAGTTGAATGTGCTGAAGGTGAGTTATTAAAGTCCGAAGCAAATGAAGTTCAAATATCAGCTGGAGAGTTAGCAAATTCAGGAACATCATCAACTAGACATGAAATGACCACAATTTTTGATACATCAGTAGCAACAAGAGTTTATGAGTATCAAACTTATTCAGCACCTTCATATCCTCAAGAAGACGATTATGGTTCAACAGATGTTTTGGTATTCTTTACATTTGAGTTGGGACCAAGATTTAGAAGGTGGCCACCTTATCTGGGCAAAATAAAAGAATGGCTATCTAACAAGTGTGCAATGATTTATGCCTGTTGAAATGCTTCAGTATTATGAGAAAAGAGTTAAGGAAGCTAAGTGGAGAGAAGTAATAAGATTGAAGTGGCAATATATTGCTAAGAGTGACACTTGGAGTAAACTGAAAGAGAATGGTGATTTCTATATAGAGAAACCACAAGACTGGGTGCAGGGGAGGGAGTTGGTGTACCGACTGAGAAAAGTTTTAAATAGCCCGAAGTTGTGTTCAAAAGCATGGAAGAACACTAAAGCAAAGATGAGACCACAAGTGTTAAAAGAGTTTATACAAGCTAGACATCGGATAAATGTGTTTGGATTGATGAGTTATTTTCAAGGATTTGAATGTGTAATGGAGAAGTTTCAAAGAGTCCCGTTGTTGCACAGTAAGGTTGTGGTCAATCTGTTCATGCTGGATTCAAAGTTTTCACTTAGAGGGCATGGAGTTTCAACAGTTAACTTGTTGGCTACTAAAGAAGTTTCAACATACATGAAGGGCACTTTAAGCTGTGACATATTGTACAACCAAAGCTTACAGGAAGAGTACTTCACAGTCCATGTAGATTGTCACTATGCTGCTGATTGTGATGACCAAAGAAGCATATGTGATTGTGCTTTCTCAGTAGGTGATGGTGCTATTTTATTGAAGAAGCAAACTCCAATAACTTCAAACACAAGTGAAGTAGAGTTTGTTGTTGCTGGTCATAGCACAGTTGGATGCATATGGTTTAGGAGTTTTTTTGAAGCAAATGGGAAAGATGAATAGTGAAGAAGAAGCCACTAAGATTTTGTGTGATAATAGCTCGGCCTCCAAGTTTCAAGGGAATCTAGTTTTGCATTTGAAGAGCAAGCAAGTAGTTCTTAAACTTTATCTACGGAGGAATCTGATCAAAGAGACAGTTGTGCAATTTGAACAATTTGAAATTCTGGTTCAAGTAGCTGGTGAGATGAATGAAGTGATGGAGCTAGTGACATTTGAGTTATTCCATGAAATGTTGGAGTGTGGGATTTCTCAGAAGTTGCGGTTGCAGGCTTCTGTTGTTTACTGCTGTGGAAAACTACTACTGTGCTTATCTTGGAAGCTTAGAGTCCATAAAGAATCGAAGTTGGCTAGAAGGAGGCCCTAAAGACTACGGTTGTTGGTGCATATTGCTTTGGGGTAAACTGAAGTCTGGAAAGGCTTCAGTTTAGGGGAGGCTGTGTTGGAATTAAAGTCACGTGTCATTACACATGGAGGTTTAAGTTATCCTTTGTCGTTTTGAGTTACTTGTTGGAGTCGAATTCTATGTATGTGATCCCAATTAGCTAGATAAAGCAGTTAGTTGTGGACGTTGAAAAACAGGGGAAATGGGGTTGTTAGTGGGATCCGAAACTAGAGTAGGGACTTTTGTATTTAATATGTTCTTTGTTCTTTCAATCAAATTTGTCAGTTTGTCTCAATAGGTTTTCACAGCATGTTGGGCTCCCTTTGATATGGTTGTATTTTGAGTGTTGGAGAGTGGTGTTTGTGGGTTGGATTCTATGATTGTTGTGTTGTGGACTGAAAGGTTGTTATTCAAGTATATATCAATCATTTGGTTGCTACTCATTATTCACATTAGTCTAGTCTGGTTGGTATGATGATGATGCTCCGTTCCATATGCTTTGAGTATTGAGGTGTTAGAATAGTAGTATTTCAATTCCAATTTTGTTTTCTTCAACTTTGTCTATTAAAAAAATTATGTTTTAGAACCAGCTAGCCGAATCATAAATATCGATTCCAAACGGTAGGTGGCTTAGTGATACAAAATAGTTTAATTAAAGTTCAACCATGATTATTGTATTAAGATATTACTAACTTGTCCAGTATATCTTTCTATATAATTTCACAATCATTGAAAAATACACCTACTTCTAGCAATGCAGCAAACAAACCCGGCCAAAGTGTAAATAATAAATACATACAGCCAGCAACAGGAGCACAATGGGATCAAGAGAATCAAACAGCACATGTTCCTTCGATGCCGGCCATGGCCTGGACCATCAGCACCTGATTCTAATTCAATTAAAAATGAGCTGTAAATTGGTTTCTTCAACCTCTTTAATGTCCACTTGGACCACTTCATAGTTCATAATCATAGCCTACCAATGGGTGCAGGCGTGCAGCCACCACTTTTATGGTGGTTAGGTCAAATCCCGTGAATTTTCAGCCTGTTATTCCCCTTGTCTTTGTTGGCAGATTTTGTTTGATAAACATAAATTCATAATTTTTAAATATGATACGCATACATAAATAGATAGATATTAAAAACATTTTCATCGTTTACCTCAAATAATGTCTTGAAATGGGCTGGGCCTGCAGTAATCGTAGACTACTTTGGGGCCGCGAAACAAGAACCAGGAAGAGGCAAAAATGAGCTGGGCTGGGCCTGCACTGGGGATCTGAACTTAGTCTTTCGCACTCACCACCTACTACTCCTAACTTCCCCCACTGCGGTTCAGTTCCGAGTCCGACTACTACTACTACTTGTATACCTCATGGAGAGTCTCAGAACAAGTCAGTAACGGCAGACTTTGTTTCAGCTGCTCCTTCCTCCCTTCCGGCCAGCCTTGATTCCATCGGTTTCCCCGTCGTTACACATTTATAATAAATAGCTTTTTGGATTCCGAGATTACCTTTTCTTGCCTTCCCGCGCCGTCGCCGGATCCTCTGCATCGGTAAGCTCTCCTCTCTCCGTTCCTTCCATATACTCTTTTAGGGTTTTATTTTTCTGCCTCTTCTCAGATTTATCGATGAATATGCACCCGCCTCAGATCCCTTTTCTGTCTGATGGTTGATGTTTTCTGATTCTCTTTTCTTTGCTTATTGCTTTCTTCTACAGCCATCGCCAGCCGCCCAAAGGATGGCTACCTCTACCAACGTCTGTCTCCGCTCCGCCGCTATCCCACGCCACCATTCCCCGCAAGCGAATGATCTTCGGATCTCCTCCCCTTCCCTCTCCTTCCGACCCACCGCCCCCCATCCCGTCTCTCTCCGCGTCATCCACCCCACTCTCCGCCTCAAGCCTCCTGCTCTTGTTTTAGCCGCCGGAGGCGGCACCGGTGGATACAGCGGTGGTACCACCGGAGGAGGTGGAGGAGGGTGGAATGGAGGATCAGATTCCTCCTCGTCCTCCACTCCCTCCGGCCAAGGATTCGGGATACTAGGCCTATTCCTGAGCGGTTGGAGATTGAGAGTGGCTGCCGATCCCCAATTCCCATTCAAGGTCCTGATGGAGGAGCTGGTCGGCGTATCCGCCTGCGTACTAGGTGACATGGCTTCCCGCCCCAACTTCGGCCTCAACGAACTCGACTTCGTGTTCTCCACTCTCGTCGTGGGCTCCATCCTCAATTTCACCCTCATGTATCTGTTGGCGCCTACAGCTGCCGCCGGTGCCTCTGCCTCAGCTCTGCCGTCTTTGTTCGCCAATTGCCCCACCAGCCACATGTTCGAGCCAGGGGCCTACACACTGATGAACCGGCTGGGCACATTCGTCTACAAGGGAACCATCTTCGCTGCGGTGGGGTTTGCGGCTGGACTTGCAGGGACGGCACTGTCCAATGGGCTGATCAAGTTGAGGAAGAAGATGGATCCGAGCTTCGAGACCCCCAACAAGGCTCCCCCAACCCTGCTGAACTCTGTCACGTGGGCGCTGCACATGGGGATCAGCAGCAACTTGAGATACCAGACCTTGAATGGGGCGGAATTTGTGCTGGCCAATGCACTCCCTCCCGTGGCATTCAAGACGTCGGTGGTGGTGCTGCGGTGCTTGAACAATGTGATGGGTGGGATGTCCTTCGTTCTGCTGGCTAGAATGACGGGATCTCAGAGCGTTGGCCCTGCCAAACCCATGGAGGAGGAGCCGGAGAAGGAGAAACTGCTCGATGATTAGTTTGATAACAATAAGCAGAACTTGTCGAGACTGCATCAGCTTAGCTTATTTACCTCGCTCTCCATTGGATTGTGACTTCAGTACCAGCAGCAGGGTTTTGTTTATATGTGACATTATTGTTCAGTCATGGGATGAAATTGGTTCTGTCAAATCCCATGGGCGAGTTTGTTTGGGTTAGGTTTTCTTTACGCATTGACTACTGCTTCAGCAGTAGAAGCTGTTTTAAGTAGGGTAGTAGCGGCCAAGTCTAGACAGGCTGCCGCCGGTACTGGCTTTGTTTCTGCTCCTCCACCGAGTTTCCAAACTCTTGGGGGGTATGCGAGTGTTTGTTTTGTTTTAGCTGTACCTTATGGCTGATGGCTGATGCTTAATAAATGGGTGATCGATCCACCACTGCATTTTCATTTCAATGCACTCGAGTGTATTGCCTTGTTCATCATCATACTGTGGCTTCCTACTCAATGTAATGTCGAAGAGAAGGTGCCAATTTCAGGGCCATTGAATATACAAGATACGCACAGAATGTTGAACACAATATTTCATTTCTCAAATCAGTCTCAGAGAAGATTGCATGTCACAGAAGACACAATTGTACAATTTTACAAATGCAGCAGTATACACCATGTACCTCCAAATCTATGCTTAGTTTACCAAATCGACCCTATATCTCTATCATATAAGTGGACTTTGTTTCTCCCTTTCCCCTTCCCTCATCTGACTGCCTCCGGAGCAGAATTACAGTAAGGAGTGTGGAGACACACCAGCTTAGTACAAGTCAAACACAGTACAGCAAACCCAACTCCAACTCCTACACCAATGCTTGTTTTTCGCGAATCCAATCGGCTGGCTCTCATCACAATGGTTGCAAAGCTTGGGAACAAACCTCCACATGCAAAAACCATCACATGATCCAGACCACTATAATCGATTCCTGCAAGTATCGATCCAATTGCAGACATCGGGCCAACAAACCCAATCAAAGCAGCTGCTGCCAGTCCACTCTGCCAGCTGTCAGTGGCCCCAAAGATGCAGCTGGCGACAGCTGCGCCCCTAGGGAGACCGTGCAAGGAAACAGGAAGAACCATGTGCCGTCCAAGCCCATAAGCTTTTGGGGCAGCCACTCCGAGGGCGAGTCCTTCGGCCAATGCATGCAACCCAACTGCTCCACCAGAGAGGAATGCTTGAAGGGTGTGAATGCTCATTGGAAAGCCAGAAACGGAAGGCAAGTTGTTAGCTGATACTTTCTTGCGACCCCCAAAACCAAGGACACTGGAGCCTAGGGTATGGGTGAATGCTGCTCCTGTTGTTAGTAAGAATGCGAGAGGTATGAATCCCATCTTTGAAGATACAAGCAGCTGCAATGGTCGCCACACAGCAAGAACAAAAGCAATTCCAGATGCTGAACCCATAAGGAGGGCATGTTGGAGACGGAATGCAAGAGCAAATGCCACAAGGATTATGCCACCAAGCAATGGACCAAGACCGAAAAGCAACGACACGAAGAAGCCAGAAGCATCCTCTGAGCTGCAACATAAAGTGCAACATAGTCGGCATTCGAAGCCACCATAATAACATAGAATAACTTTGGCTTTAAACAAAGACAGTATTAATATGGAAAGGTCTGAGATATGGCAAAAACACTCGCATCAAGAGCTTGGAAGCAAAACTGAACTCTTGGTTATAAGAAAGACTCATGAAAAACCAAGGAGCAAAGCAGCACAAAACGAATGTTCTTGGAGGAGACAAGGTGCAACTTAATGTAAGACTACCAATATTAAAGCACCTTAAATAAAAAAGCATACAACTTTAGAGTTTTCAGCATATTACTGCCTCCATTCTTCCTAACTGGCATTAGGTTCTGGAATTTTATCCTTCTTTCCTCATCTTCAGAACACCAGAACTTTTTTGTTTTTGTTTTATAGTAGTTCCTAGTGCAACTCAAGCATATAACAATAAGTGAAGGAGAATAATACAACAGATTCTATCTAGCTTAATGTTGGAGGTTGTGTTTCTTCATATTTGTGATACTGAGGTCTCACTTCAATAATCATACATGTAGGAGCAGCTATTGGAAACCTAGTACTAAGTATAAGGATAAAAGTGATTCCGGTAAGAGAGATTCCAAGCGACACAGTGAGGAGCAAGTGCTTATTGAACAAAGCAAACCGTCTACATTAGCAAACATGAGGTTTGCATAATCTGCAATTATATAATTCACGGACATCTCTTTTACGTAACCAAACTAGATCATCTGCATTATCATATAACACAAATGGAACTTAGCTATAAGACAATAACGGAGAAGTTCAGGGGTAAGTGCACATAAGCATTGTGGAACTAGACTAAGAGTTGTGAACTCCAGATATCTTCTCACTTCATTTGGAGAGAGAAAAGTAGGTCTCAACTCACTTATAATCATGGCTGAAATTCTGGAACAAAGTGCTGAGTGCTTCCATAAATGCAACTGATACTGTAGCTGCTGATGCCACTTGAGACGGAGAAGCTTCCTAGTACCAGAAAATAAAATTTAATGGCCTCAACATAGATAGAACTCAGAGCACAATCTGAAATGAACAGGAGAGTTTTCCTATGATTGCTTGATTCCAGACAAAAGCTGGAAAAGCAAATATCCAGAACAGCAGTACTTTTGGCATCACCTCAAGTCCTCAAACACCTTATTGCATGTGGATGAAGTAAGGTAGGAAAGTCACAAGCTCATGCATGAAGAGATGTTATGAATTATAACTTCTCTCCAAATCTAGTCAAAACCATAGCAAAATTTGTGTTCTAGCTTCAAAACTTGAACTTGTAAAACCATCCAAAGGACCTGTACTGACTAGGAGAAACCGAGCGAGTCACAATCATGTTCTGGAAGGTATACATTCGCATGAAATCAGTGAGCCAAATTACCTTGAAGGCATCAGGAAGGACCTCAGCAACAACCATCCAGATCATACATCCAGCAGCAAAACCGGTGCAAAAGGGTAGGAACTTGTTAAAGGAATCAGCACAGATGAAGGAAGGAACCGCTACTATGGGCTGCAATGAACAACCTGAATTTGTCACTAAATGCTAATGCAATGGTGGAAGTTGTATTAGAATGCAACTTAACATGACACACATAGCTAAGGTACAGCCTTGGTGGATGTTCTTAATTCAAATTGGTGGTTCGTCCCATGCAATGCTGGACGTTGTATTAGAATGCAACTTAAGATGACACCCATGCTGTTATCATATGACTAGAGATCGTGTCATAGTAGCGATCCATTTGAACATATCTCCTAATGGCTAATAACCTAGTGAAGCTGAGACAAGATGTGACTGACTTCCACAAACATGAATAATGTGTTGCAAAAGAATGATGTTTTACCTGCGGCAAGGAAGTAATGACACTCCACAACATAGCATTCTGAGGAGAAACGCCCCTTGATGCAAGAACCATACTTACAGCCAATCCCTCGGGTATGTTGTGGACAGCAATGGCAAGTGTCACCAAAAGCCCTTGAGAGAAACCCTTTGAGCCAGCAAAGGACACCCCAACTCCCGAGCCTTCTCCAAATGAGTGAAGAGTCATAATTCCAATAACAAGGACTACTTTGGTTGCGTCAGCCCCTTTGATATCCAGCATGCTGACTTCTCCATATCGTTCCAGGAACTGCAAGAGCCAAAAGAGAAATGGGATCTGCAATCTGGGATTTTCAAAACTTAAAAAGTAAGGATTTTTGTGGTTCGTTTTACCTTCTTACAGAGCAAGATGAAGACGCCACCGGACAAAATTCCGATCATGACCCAGCTGCCAGCTCCATGTGCCTGGCCTTCCTGAACGAGATCAAAACTAGCAGCCAGCATGACTCCAGCGGCCATGCCGTTGCACAAGCCAGCCCACTGAGGATCCAGCTCGACAAAGAAAAATGGGAGAGCACCCAAGCCGGTGGCAGCAGCCATGGCCAAGGTAAACAAAGCAACAGTAGAAATGGCGACCCCATTGTGATTGGTAGGATAGGTGGATGCATCGTCGAATGTCGCGGTATCATCCTGAGTAGCAGCGCCGGTGCCATCTATGACGGAGCTGCGGGCATTCTTATGAGGAGCGGACGGAAGGGTCGTCGTAGTAGTAGAAGGATTCTGGGAAAGGGCAACAGCAGAGAAGAGGAGGATGATGATGCCGATGAAGGGGAACATGCGGAGTGGTGTGGATAATGGAGCCATGATGGAAGGGAAGAGGGGCTAGTTGGTGGACGGAATTCTGGCAGCGGCAGCAGAATAAGCATCAAGAAGTTGAGGTGAAGCAGAGGATCAGAGATTCGATATGCTAAACAAGGAATTGGAATTGGGATTGAGGGAATTTTGAGATTTGCAGAGTTGACGGGAAAAGCAAGATAGACGGTAATTGCCTAACCTGATTTCGTACGCTGACGCTGTCGCTCGTTAATCAATAGTTCAATCCCATTCCGCCGCCATTGCAATACAAATTACAGCCGGAAACCAGAGTTAGAAAGCAAACACCAGCAGCATTAGCAACTGGAGGGATGGGGATTGGGGGCGCACGGAATTAGGGCTTTTGATCAGAAGACAATAATCGAATGAAACGCAATCCAAATAAACGCTGAGAGAGAAAGGGATAAAAGTTTAATTGCCTCTCCTTTCTGCCCGCGGCGAGGAAGGAGAAGCAAAATTATTGGATGAAAAGGAAGAAAAAAAACCAGAGGGAATAAACTGTGGGCGTTCTGTCGTTTATGGTTAGCATCGACGAAGAAGAAGAGAGACGAAGGGAGGTGACTGTTCGAAAGGAAAAACTAAGAAACGCCGTAGAAACGGCAAATTTCATGGGAAAATATGGACGAAGTTATTCGTGGGGCCTAAAAGGAAGGAGAGAGCCCTGCCACCAAAAACTGCGGGAAGAACAAAGAAACGCGAAAAGTTTCCAATACGAAAGGCGATATGTTTACTTTTAACGATATGCCGACTTGAGAAGAAACGGGTTCCTCGAAACGCAGAAACTTGAAAGGCTCTCTTTTCTTTTCAATGTCCGACTTCTTGTTGGACATTGTTTTTCTCGTTTTTGAATGAGATCGCATATTCTTGTTATCGCTAACTCACTTATGTTTTTTTGCAATAAATTGTTCAAAAGTTGTCTTAAAATTTTTATTTCCACTTGTGTAAAAGAATTATTTGAACTAAATTATTGTAAAATCGTATAAAAAAGGTGGTAGTAGAGTATTTTATACCGAAGTCATAATTTAACTGTGGTTCAACCGTTTTATATCGTTAAATATCACCTACCAATCTAGCCTTGTGTGGATTTTTTTTGGTCGAACCACCAGTAGGTACGATCTTTCAATTCAAACTTTAAATAGAAAAATCACTAAAATGTTGACATTATCAAATACCCCTTAAATCTCATAAATTACAATAGTCATATTAAGGAAAAATCATCCAAATGATAATATTGATTTAGGATGTATTGAAATGGGAAAAATCTGTCAAATATAATGTCATCCTCTAAAATAAATCAAAACTCAACAAAAGAGGACTAACAATAGCCTTTGAGCAAAGGAGAAGGACAATTATTTCACACTACATCAATTTTTCCCTCTTTTAAATGTGTTCTCTTACTCTCTTTTTGTCTTCCTCTTTCTTTTTTCATTTGTTCTTCCATCTCTCTCTCTCTCAGTTTTGTATCTCACCACTCTCCCCCTTCCCTTACTCTTTATTCCCACCGCCTAGAATCGATAGAAATCGAGAAACATCTCAAATATTTCTCGAATTTTGCGTTCGAAATGTTTCTTCTCCATTCATAGTCTATAGTGTGAATCAGGGAACGCGTTAGGGTGATTACTCAAAATTGAGTAATCACGGTGGATACTAAAATCTACACCCTTTATTATCTTCATATCACCCTAATTTTGATTTGACGGTGAGTATTAGATTAAGGATAATTTTGAGAATAAAAAAAATACCACACCTGATTTTTATCCTTTAAAAAATTAATTTCTATATATTATATACCTAAACCCTACTCCAGCCTCATTCTCTATCGGTAGTTCCCTTCCTCCGTTGGCGGCCACCCTCCCAAAGCCGGCCAACATCCTACTGTCGGCGACCACCCACCACTCCGGCTACACTCGCCAACCGCTGTGGGCATCCTCTTCCCTCTTCTCTCTCTCTCTCTCTCTCTCTCTCTCTCTCTCTCTATATATATATATATATATATATATATATATATATATATATATATATCGCCCCCTTTGTCTCTCGCTGCTCCTCTCTCTCTCTCTATCTGCCCTCTGTCTCTCGCTGCCGTCTCTCTTTGTGAGATGGTTGTGGCCAGAAAAGGTGGGATGAATAAAAAATCTAGATCGGATTTTTTCCCGCATTGGTAGTTTTTTTTCGCAGTTGTAGTGTTTTTTCCCGCATCGGTAGTGATTTTTTCGTAGTGTTAGTGTTTTTCGCATTGGTATTATTTTTTTCGCATTGGTAGTGATTATCATATAAGCATATTGCTTTTTTATGAAATGGTAGTATTCTTTTTCTGTAGTGGTAGTATTTTTCGCATTGGTAGTGTTTTTTGCATTGGTATTGATTATCATGTAATTGTATTGATTTGCATGTATTGATATTGATTAAATCTGCAATGGTATTGGTATTTTGTGAAATTGTAGTATTTTTATTTCTCGAATGATATTGGTGTTTTTTGCATTGGTAGTTTTTTTTAATGGATTGATATTGTTTTATTGTTGTAGCGGTATTAGTTCCGCTGAATGACAACAAGGAAAAGATTGAGAAAAGGAAGGAAGAGAGATCTGACTGGAGATTGTGAAAGTGAGAGAAAGAGAGACAAAATTGTAATTAATATATTTTTTTAACTTTCTAAAATATAATTTGTTAAAAATGTAATTAATAAATTTTTTGTTATACCCAATTTGCCCTTGGTAACCATGGTGTTTACTGTTTTACAGTAATCATCATAACCTGTCCCGTGAATCAGAGCACATGAAACCAGGCAAACATTTGAGTGTTTATTCCTCGACGGAGCAAAGTAGTTTGATAGTTTGTGAATAAACTAATTACTAAAAGTGATAAAAACAACAATCGTTAAACTAATTGAGTGAGTCTATAGTTAGTTCATCCCTTAAACCATTTTATTTATCAAAAGAATCAAAATGCATAATCACGTTCATCTTCACTTATTTACATGTATTTGTTGTACAAATTTTTTACACATAAAAATTATTTTGAACCAGCATATCGAACTAAATCTCATCTTATGATTATTGGATATAGTCATGTCAGATTAGAAAGATGTATAAAGCTATTGGTCAACTGTGCTGAAAATTAATAATAATATAAGAATTATATATCTCTTCCCACTGTTCAATACTCCAATTCAATATGCAATATTCGAACAAATGATATATTTTCAACCCCTTCCGCAAAGTTTTTAGACCAAAAAAACTCCCCCCAAACACACACACATTTGCAAAGAGATACTAAATCTCAATATCTTCTTCACTTTAGTTGTTTCTAAAGTTATTGTTGACGTTATTTGTATTACTGCAGGCTATAAATTAGACTTTTCAGCTCTGAAGTTAATCAAGAATGAGTTTATAAATGAGTGTTTAGTTGCATAAATTGGAAAAGGTTTAGGTCTCAAAATAAACAATGAATGTTTTTTATAAACCTTTTAGAATATGTGCCGTCACATGTTGATGTGAAAAACTACTCATTAATTGAAATTTTAAATGTTATTTTTATAATATTATTTTTATTATTATCAAATGACGCATTTATGCTTAAAACACGAGTTCACCAATATAGACTGTTTGGTGCTCAGACATGTGCGCGAGCCCTTAAAGTTTAACGTTTAGCAGTTAACCAGGCTAAAAGTTCAGAGAACCATTCACCTGTCGTTTGTACAAAATATTATTGCTTCGTAGTAGTTTTGAAAGTTTATATTACTTTTAAGAATTCTACATGGTTTTTGCATATTCAATGCTGCAATTCGATATGCATGATTTCAAGCAATGAAATTTGGGTTGAAATTTGAAGATTATCCAAAATTGTATAGGTTATAAAAAATTATAAATCACGTATTAAACTTTGCTTTTCAGAAGATTTAATAGGCTAGCTAACCGTGATGGAAAAGTCATCTGCTTTTCAAATCTTCACTTAGTGTATGTTTACAATTCAAGTAGATAAAATAAATTTGTTTAGTGTAATTGGTTGTGATTATTGTTTTTGTTTGAAGAGACCATGGTTCAAATATTGATATTGATACTTTTTTATATGAAGTAGATAAATAATTGTGATGACAAACTTACTCTTCCTACTTTCACTCTCAATTCATGAAATTTCAAATGAAAAATCTTAAAACATTAAATGTATCTTAGAGAAAGAGCTTCTTCAACCAAGTAGGAAAAGTATTTTACCTGAAATTATTATATCTTATAGAAAGTGATTAATTGTGAAATCGGAACTAAAATAATATTGATTCGAACATTAAATATTAAATTGTATCATATGTATGGTTCAGTTTAGACAAAATACATATGGTGTAGCCAAAACATGGACCTTTGTGACAAATATAGTAATTATTTGTGACAATATACACATAATATAAAGATAAATTGGGCGCAATGACGAAAAAGAGTTTTCCTAGGATCACTCTCATACCAGGAAATTTGAAACGAGACTCTCATTTTTCATTTTTATCATTATATTATGTGTACATTTGTCACAAAAAATGAATATACTTGTCACAAAGGTCCATGTATTGGTTACACTTCTTTATTTTGTCTAAACTAAACTACACATACAATTTAATATTAATGTTTGAATGAATGTTACTTGAGTTCCAGTTTCAGAAATAATCTATTTCCATAAAATAACTTAAGATAAAATATAAATTTAGAAGCATCATCACCAAACATATTTTTAGATTTTTAATAAAAAATAACTATAAGACAATGTAGCGTAGTTGGTTACAATGTTATTTCTTCATTGAATTGACCAGGGTTTGAACTCCAATGATAACATTTTTAATATATAAACAAGAACTGGGTGAAATGACAAAAACGACCTTCCTAGAATCACTCTCAGACCACGAAATTTGAAATGGGACAATTTCAACCCATGTTTTGTCATTATATATCTTGTAGATCACCTGAAAAGGTTTTTATCTTGTATCTATTTGTTCCCACTGGTAATATTTATGACAAAAAATAGAGGGTAATTAATTAACTACTCACTAAAACTAATTATTCCTTTGGTGGAGGCAGGATTCGAAATACCCGTATCCTCATTTTACGTGGAGGCAGGTTTGCTTTTATAATGTCTTGGAATCGATTACGAGTAACTTTCCAGAAATATGACTGGAGATACAACTCTCTTGTTGAGTTATTCGATCAAATAAAATTTGGTTTTCACGTTGATGGTCCTTTAGTAGTGGAAATCTCATTGGAACATGAGAAATTTGTCACCTTAAAGATAGGGGTGCTCGCGAACAATGCTAAGATATTCAAGATATTCTTGTATGCATACTAATAATTTATGGAAGAAACTGAGAGATAAGACCAATGACATAGATAATCCAAAAATACAAAATGATTAATAGCTACTAATACTTACCATTTTATAAAGGCAAACCAGAGATATTCAATATACTATTTTCCAAGTCTTGGCTCAAAAATATACCAAGTTGACTGTAAATAATTTCAAATTTTTATATTATAAAACAAAACAAAAAAATGCATGTCTATCATCAGTATTATCACACGGACGTAGCTTTTGAATATTATTGTGCTACAAAAACAATATCACAATGATTTCAGTTGTACTCTATCAAGTTACAAAAGTTATACTCAAATTTTATAGATTTCATACCATATTGGTGTAATTATGTATTATCGTAAAGGAACCTAAGACATGTCTGCAACCATGTCTTTTAGAAGGATAATTTTTTATTTGAAACCATATCAAAACAAAAATCATTGTGTAAATCACATTAATTTAAATTTTCTATTAAAATATGTAACTTTGTAATTGAAATGAAAGATATACATACCATTTGGTAACAATACGTTAAAAAAATAATGTTTTGTACAAATTTCATTCTATATTGGTGTGCTATGTATCATTGTAGTTAAGGAACCTAATACGTGGTTGTGATCATGATTTTAGAAGGATAATTTTTTAATTTAAATCATATTTGAATGATGTCATTGTGAAATACAATTTTTATATGCAAAAATATGTAAATTTTAAATTAAAATGAGAATATACATATCCTAACATTCACTTTTTTGGCTTATATGCGTAGATTTTTTTATTATTTGTTAATTAACATGACAAAAATATCCTTCCTAAATTCTCTTTAAGAGCTAGAAAAGTTGAACTGAGTATGTTTTGATGGAGAACCTCCATAAATAAATGGTAGGATAGGATGGTAGGATAGGATAGGAGGAGGTAGGATGCGCCACATGTATGATAATAAATAATAGGTAATATTGATATTTAATTAAAGTTCAAATACGTAGTTAAGGGTTACAGTCTTACAAAGTTCTTCATGCGTGGAAATAAATGTTAAATCAATCATTTTAATTTGGAACTCCTCCGTATGCTTTTTCAGCTCAAGATAATTTTGGTATTTCCTACAGTAAATATCTAAGCCATCATAATGATCATTACGTAATATAATTTTACTAATATATTATGTAAAGTTATAGAACTACAATTATTGGTTACACAATAATTAAGTTTTGACTTTTGAGTTACGTAAAACTTCTATAACGATTTGACACTTAAAGTGTTATTCATTACGTAAATATACCATCAGTTACGTAAAACCCATATATTGTTATTTCACAAATCACAACTATTATGTAAGATATAGATAGATCGTGAAAGATATCGAACGACAATTAGTTCTTACGTAACAGTTAAATCATACGCATTATGTAAGACTTTTGTAACGATTTAACACTTTGACGTAACAGCGTGTTAATAATCATTATTATATGCATTATGTAAGACTTATGTAATGATTTAACACTTTGATGTAAAATAATGTGGAAATACTATAAAAAAAATAATGTGGAATCACTAATATATTGTACATAATAATATGTACAATCACCTAATTGGAATTCCTGGGGTTGGGATACGGTGACATCCCTCAAGAGGGTTGTGAGTTTGACAACCAAGAGCAATTTGGGTGGTGCAAAAATAGTTTTATTAATTACTTTCCTTTTTATATTAATTACATTTTGGGAAATTAAAATCCATATTAAATAAAATTTTTTATTTTACAATTTAAATCCTACCACAAATACATTTCTCTCTCTTCCTTTTTCAGCAACCACTCACTCCGATCGACTGACTTTCTCCGACCGGCAGACCTTCTTCGGTGAAATCCTTCAATCATACTCGCTCCGACCACCTACAAAAAAGTATCACTCCATTAATGTGCTAATGGTAATGATTTTTGTCTAGTGGTAAACAAAAACTACCACTAGTAGTGTACCGGTAAGTATTGGTATGCTACCACTAGTCACTGGTACGTACAAGTGAGCAGTGGTACTGTACCAGTAGAGCTACCAGTGGTAGTGGTACGCTACCACTAGTCACTGTGACGTACCAATGAACACTTGTAGAGGTACCAGTGGTAGTGGTATAGTTCAGTGCTCACTAGTATCGTACCAGTAAAGAGTAGAGACTACCAGTAGAGACTGACACAAAAACCAGATGTGGAATATAAAAAATCACAGATCTGGAAAAAAAATGAGGAGAGGGGGAGGTAGGGAAGAGTCGGTAACCTAGCAACGACGACGTAAGGACGACAGCGGGCATCGGGGCACAGTGGGGGGCACAGGGGCGGCGGGGCACGGCGAGGGGCGCAGGACGGCGGGGCACGACAGGGAGCGTAGGGGCGGCGGGGGCGAGGACAGCAGGCGCAGCGAAAGCCGGAGGGTGGCAACGAGTATGGCAGAGGAAGAGGGAGGTGAAGTTGCGACGGTCGCAACGTCCACGAAAGAGAGGAAAGAAGGGGAGAAGGAGGTGAACGGTTGTGGAGTTGGTATGAGTTAGATTAGGGTTTTATTATTCTATACGAGAGGAAAAATGATTGAGTGTTGTAAGTTTTTTCCTCCCAAAAATACTCTTCCTTTCATCTCAACCATCAATTTAAAAATGACAAGAGAGAATCAGGAGAGATAATGGCTACAAAATGAGTTGTGAAACTCGCGATATCCCATCCCGAATTCCTGTTTCTTTTTCTTTATTCTTCATTCACATTTGTTCCCCAATGAAAGCAATTATTATTTTCATGACTTATTTATTGTGTTTCGGTAATCGGTACAACCGTGCCAAATCAACCCAGGGAGACTAAAAATAAAACAAAAAAGGAAAGTGGAGAATAATTGTGGAATTAATCATTATATTGAGGTCGGTTCCGGTATAAATTTTTTCCCTTTATTAATTAATTACCATACAGGTGGCACATTTTTATTGGGCGGGAGCACGGCTGAGGTGGTGCTCCAGGAGCAGTCAAGAATTCGTCAGAAGGCCGTGATCATGCACGTTTGTTTGGTGGAGGTTTTAAGTCAACGTTCAACTACCCGTACTAACCGGGTGCTTGAAAGCTAATTTACAGCAGCAAATAGCGGATGAGACGGACAGATGACAGTTACAATTGGTGTAACAAAAAGCTTCCTCATAGGCCATAGCTCATCCATTAATTGCGTTTCCTTTTGCTTTTGATTTGCTTTCTTTTCATCACTGGGCTACGTACGATTCCCTAAACGGGGTGAAAGTATAGGTGTTGTAGCGCGGTTCAAAATGAACGATGTTGATGTATCGAAGCAGATTCAACAAATGGTGAGGTTCATAAGGCAGGAGGCCGAGGAAAAAGCCAACGAGATCTCCGTATCTGCCGAGGAAGAGTTCAACATCGAGAAGCTACAGTTGCTTGAAACTGAGAAGAAAAAGATTCGACAAGACTTTGAACGGAAAACCAAGCAGGTCGAAATTCGCAACAAGATGTACGTATAGGCATGGGACATGCAGCACATGCAGTACCCCTCCTTATATTTATATTTATATCATAATTATAATTACAATATAAATACACATGCATGCATGGATATGATTAAGCGTAATTAGGTGGCTAGTGGAGGATAATGATGTTTATTTTGCATTCATGCATTGATGCTGTGTGCGTACGTTAACGTATATGAATGAATGCACGCATGCAGCGATTACTCGACGCAGCTGAACGCATCGAGGATCAAAGTGCTGCAAGCCCAGGACGACGAGGTGAACTCCGTGAAAGATGCGGTGGCGAAGAAGCTGGGGCGCGTCTCTTCCGACAAATCCGCATACAAGGCGCTGCTGAGATCGCTGATAATCGAGGGGCTGCTGCGGCTGAAGGAGAAGTCAGTGCTGCTGAGGTGCAGAGAGGCTGACCGTGGAGCAGTGGAGTCGGTGCTGGAGGACGCCAAGAAGGAATACGCCGACAAGCTCAAGGTGGCGCTGCCCCAAATCACCCTCGACAAGCAGGTCTACCTCCCTCCTGCTCCTTCCGCCAATTCCCATCACGGCCTTCATTGGTACGTACCAATCTACTATTAATTACTATATATAACAACGTACATTACGTAGACATATAATTAATATATATTAACCTTGTATAATGTTTTGTGCCTACGTATTTAAGCACGGGAGGAGTAGTGCTGGCATCACAAGATGGGAAGATTGTCTGCGAGAACACCTTAGACGCTCGATTAGATATTGCTTTCAGACAGAAACTTCCTCAGGTCCGTACATACTTACACAAGGGAACACAAAGAATGATATATATCGTATTACATAGTATATATACGGCCTTTTGGTAATGATATTAATTAATTAACTAACTAATTCCCATGCGAAACCATATGCTTAATTTGCTTCTACATGCAGATTCGCAAGAAGCTTCTCGCAAATTTAGGCTCATAAATCATGATGATCACCGGTCTCGCCCATTCATATGTACCAATCCTGGCGCGCATTGGCAACTCGATCGTGCTCTGCTCTCATTTTTGTTCTTCATCTTACCTACCTTCCAATTTGTTTCAATTTACTATACTACATTACTTGTGCCATTACTTTGTGACTTGTGGGCCCGAATAATTTCTTCCATCTCTGTTGGCTGGAGATATTATCCTTATGATATAACTGTCCTAACTCTCTACGCTGTGTCGTTTTGGTGTTTAAACGGAACATGAAACGCGTTCCTTCTTTCTTTCTGGCTGTACTTTTCTTTTCCCCCAAACTTTGTAATTTTTCCTTTCCAAATTACCAAACAAACTAGAAATGGAGCTTGTCCTGTTATGGTTTGATCTGCCTACAAGAGGCAGAGGTTGCAATGAGAAACACAACTTTCTAAAGTTTCTATTCACTCCCAACTTATTTGTTATGGTATTAGAGCCTAGAATTATAGAACCCTAACAGCCGCTTCCATTTTCTTTGATGGCTGAAAATCAAGCCCAAGCACAGTCACAGGCAGAGCAACAAAATGATGTTGCTCCAGCTATTGTTGACCTTCCGTCCAACCCCTTCTTCCTCCATGGCTTCGACCAGCCTGGATCTCTTCTCGTGGCTAAAAAGCTCCCAGCTACAAACTACAACGACTGGAGCATGACAATGTTCAATGCTCTCGCAGCCAAAAACAAGATTGACTTCATCAATGGTACCATTCTAGAACCAGCAGTTACAGATGCTAGACATGGCGCTTGGACACGCAACAACGTCATGGTTCTCAGTTGGATACAACAATCCACTTCTCCATAAATAAGAAAACTATACTTTCCAGCAAAACTACTACAGAAGCATGGAAAAGCCTCCAAACACGTTATGGATATGGAGATCTCATCAGAATAGGCAATAGCTGAGCTTGAAGAGAAGCTCTTTCTACTCTTCAGCAAGGTAATCAAACAGTTATAGAGTATTATGACCGTGTCATTACTCTTAGAGATAGAACTAGGGAACTATCAACCCTTGCTTCCTTGTGCTTGTAAACCAACCAACCATAATGATTGTGCAACTATGATTTGGGTCCTCCAATATCAGGAGACCAACTATGTTATTAAGTTACTTCATGACTTGAATGATAATTTTTATGGGGTCAGAGCAAAAGTTCTGTTTGGAGATGAGCTCCCCAATATCAAAAGGATTTTTCAAAGAATGCTTCAACATGAAAGACAACTTTATGGAACTCAATCTGGCAGAATGGTTGCCTCCTTGCAATCAGATTCTTCAGCGCTAGCCTTTCAAGGTGGTAACAGAAGGGGCACCACTAACAACAAACCCCCATTCTATACCTTCTGCAAAATAGAAGGCCATACTGAATATATATATTTCCATAAACATGGTTGTTCTCCTGATCTATGCTATTGCTATACAATGTACGTTTGAAGAAGAGAACGAAAATGAGAGAACAGAAGAAATAAAGCAAACAAACGCATAAACGATCCATTTTCCAGCCAATTGAAAAACAAGAGCGAAAGCCAATCACGGAATCGCCCCAAGCCGAACTTGAAATTGAGTGTTATTAAAGCCGAGCCGAGCCACTCGGCCCGACCAGTAAAACCGCCATCCGGTCACAAAATTGGCTCGGAACAGTCTAAAAGTCGCTCCGGTTTTATGTAGCAGTTGGCGAGCAGTCGAGGCGGTTAGCCGATCGAGCCGCTCGTACAGTTTTTGCCATTCAGCCGTTAAATTTAATTAAACAAATTGTAGAAAATTGAAAATTGAAATAAACCAAAAACATCGGGCTCTCAAACTGAATCCTTATTTCCATTTCACAATTTCGAAGGAAAGAGATGAGCTCTGATTAAGAAATGCCCACTATTTTATATTGATAATGTTGATTAGGGACCGGTTCTCTAACGGTTTTTAAATGATCTATTGTTGGTTGGACCACTAAAGAGCGAGCCGTTCGCATTATCGAGTTATGCTCTGGTTCGGTTCTGACAACATCGGAAATTCAGATACAGAAAGTTGGAAATTTCCAAATGCGGAAGGTGGAACTGCAAACTAGGAGAGGAACCAAACCGAATCGGCATACAAACTCGAAGTCGTATAAGAAAAAAAAAATAAACTCCACCGACGAAGCACGAAAATCTCCACCGATTCGATTCAAAAGGACGAAAGCAGATTGAAGGAAGTCGGATCAGAATACTTACGCAGGCGAGTAGGTGGAGATCGTAGCAGATGCAGTTGTGAGAGCATGGATGCGGATCAGGCAGCAGAGCGGTGCAATGAAGAGAAGAATAAACAAAATATAGGGAGCAATGTGTACTGTGTAGTAAAGATGTGTAAGAGTGATTTGCAGAGAGAAGATGTTATAGACTACGTACGTGTTGCATGTGTTGAGTACGTACCTATTTGTCAATTTGAACTCGTTCTGCGGGTATTACCTGACCTGACCCGCAATGGGGCGAGTATTACCCGACCCATAGTAGTATGGGGCGGGACATGAATATCTACTTCCTCCGCCCTGTCCCCGTTCCGTCACATTGTTGGCCCATTTTATCTGAATTTCTTACATTATCTATATATATTTCTTTTATTTTTGACTTTTTTCAACTAGTTAGAGTTGATTTTTCAACTTGTTAGACTCAATTACCCATTCTATTATCACTATTTTTCGTTCATAAAGTGTATTTTTTTCAAATAACATATAATAGTGGGTCGACCCGCCTCACTTTGTATCCGCTTGGGTTTTACCCGCCCTGACCCACAATAGCATAGAACGAGGTATGAGTATTGAGGTACCCGCCCCGCCCCATTACCATCAGCCCATTACTAATGACCCACGGCTGTCGGGGAGGAGATAAAGCCCACCAACCCACCAGAAGCACAAGTGAGCCCAGCCCACAGAGGATACGGTTACGTTCTCGCCGGGGCTGCTCCAGCGTCTCATCTCCGAACGACGGTGACAGTCAGCTGCCGTCTCCGCTCCTATTCAATTCTCGCCTTGCTACCACGACTTGTATGCTCTGTTACTTCACAATCGCCTCCACGACGAACCATTCTCACTCTTCTTGATTCTTCTCCTTCGGAAAGTATGGCGGTCATCCACGCTCACCCTCACCGCCTGCTTACGTAAGCACTCCCGCACTTATCTATCTGTTCTTTCTTTTTCTTCTCCCAAATCCCTATCCACATCTTCTGGTCTTCAAGTGGAATTGTGGGCAGCTACCCTCTTTGAATCTTACACCTGCCTGCCGGCCGGCCGTTTCCCTTCCCTTTCATCTCTCCATTCACTTCCCAATCTATTTGTTTCCTAACTTCTCCTTTCTCCGTCCTTCTCTTCTGCTTCAGGTTCCCAACAAGTTCGCCGCTTCATCGCCGTTGCTTCGCATCTCATCCCTCCTCCTATCTTAATTATGGATTATTTGGAAGAGGTAATAAGAAAATAAGCATAATTTGGCTGCCACGCTTCATCATTTACTAAAAGACTTCTGTTTGGTGAAGATTCCTCGTTCAATCCGGGGTCAGCTGCCTCGCGCTCAGTTCCTTCTTACGCATACTTACTACTTTCAGCTGTATAATATTGGCTTAGTTGGGCGTGTTTGACTTCACCGCCCAACCTGGTGTACTGCTACTTGGCATCCCCCATTTTACTACTTTCAACCATCTTCTCATCTGCCCCTCAACTTCTTTTGTCTAAATCTCTGCACTTCAGCTAGCAGGCCAAGGGAAAGGGTCTCCCGTCTCAGGTCTAACTTCTGGGAATCCATTAGAACTGGGTAAACCCTTTTCTCTATGACCTCAATGTGGTATCATAGTATTGCTGTTTCTTTCTCCAATGCCCGCGCCTTCTTCTGCCTAGACTGTCCCACATTATGCTTCTAACAGCTTTGTGCTTCTGCTGCACTCCTTTCACAGTTTGATAAAAGACAACAACTCTGCACAAGTTATTGAACCTCCATCCACCACCGACCCTGAGGAAGAGCCATTGCCTGAAGAGTTCATACTCATGGAAAGGAGTGAACCCGATGGAGTCATCGAGCAAATTGTTTTCTCTTCTGGGGGTGATATTGATGTTTATGATCTAGAAGCGTTGTGTGACAAGGTAACGTGAATCAGTATCATCAGATGAAATGGCTAGATAATCAGTATCAGCAGAAGTTCAGTAATAACTATTACTGGTCTTCTCTTACTGTTTGATAGGTAGGATGGCCTAGAAGGCCATTGACAAAGTTAGCTGCAGCCTTGGAAAACAGCTACATGGTAGTCACCTTGCATTCTGTACGAATATCACCTGGATCAGGTACATAGTCCAATGTGAAAAAAATCATAGGGAAGCCCTCTCATGATCTTGACTGTTTAAGCTTAAAACTAGAGTGTTTCCTCTGGTCTCAAAACTATTATGATGGACATCTTAGTGTACTTGGCGAAGTTATTTAACAGAAGGGAATGACCAGAAGAGACTGATTGGCATGGCTCGTGCCACATCTGATCATGCCTTCAATGCTACCATTTGGGATGTCATCGTGGATCCTAGCTACCAGGTATTTACTCTTGCTACTTGTAGACCTTTTGAACATTCAGATTGACATTGTTGGACCTTTGTTTTGATATAATATTCTGAACAGGGTCAAGGCCTTGGCAAGGCCCTTATTGAAAAGCTGATTAGAGCTCTTCTTCAGAGAGACATTGGCAACATAACTCTTTTTGCTGATAGTAAAGGTATAGCTACCTTAAAAAATGGATTGCTCTCGTAGTTAGTTGTGTTCTAGCCCAAGCCCTTCTTAAGTTCTCTGGATAGATTTGAAGTTGCACCAGCTGTTGACTGTATCTAGTGGTCATCAACTTCTTTGCAAGTTTGTGGCCTGATACGTTTGTACTTCTTTGCCCTTTGCAGTTGTGGAGTTCTATCAGAATTTAGGTTTTGAAGCTGACCCAGAGGGCATCAAGGGTATGTTTTGGTACCCCAAATACCAGTAATCATGTTCAGCGTGAGCCGAGTTTGATTATTCTGCTTGTGGTAGAAATGGCTTGTTCGAAGAGGCGAAGAAAGTGGCACCAGCTCAAAGATGGATAGCAGCCAATAGTAACCGTGGAATCCGAGTCTTTGGACTTCCTGCTGTAAGCAATCTTGTGTATCTCTTGAAGTGATTGTAATATAGGCGTAGAGTAGTTCTCCATTTGATTTGCCTCGCACTGCATAAGATGTAATGAATTAATTATCTGTCTGTGCATGTACTCAGGGTTGAGCTTTGAACATGTCTCACTTGCAAGTTGCAAGTATTCAATCAAATGCTATGCTTACTATTGTTTTGGCCTTGGGACCTTAATATAATTACCACTTGCTCATGTGATGACATGGTGATTGCATCGTGTAGAAGACCCTTTTTTAGTCTTTATACTGCATTGGTTGTTGAAGTATTATTTACAGTTTTCACGAGATAAGTATATTTGAAGTCAACCGCAGAAGATGGGATTGGAGGACCAGGTCATTGGTGTCAGGTAAAGGATATGTCAAGTTAGCTTGTTGGCCCTACTGCATTGACGCTGGCCGGCAGCGATTGCCAAATTACAATATGATCATAGTGTTTGATTGATTTCACATTTCAGTCCAACTGAAACCCTTGGTCAGCTGGTGGTTACTTATGTTAAGAAACAAGTAGGCAGTAGAATGCCCCCAAAGAATCAAAAAGACCGCTGGCCAGATAGTCAGCTATAACCCACTGCAGTGGAGCGTAGGAATTTCCCCCCCAACCCCAACATATAGAGATTATTTATTACACAAGTGTTTCACATATGACCTCATTCTTAGTATTTTTTCCCAATGATTTAACCATCTCACCTTCCATTGCCAAGCTAATTCTCTTATTTCAAGTAAAATAAAGAAAAATAATTTGATAACATTGACATATCGATTATTTTTCCTGCAGTTGAACTTTTCTCTTTTCCTTCTCATCTGTGAAATATACTGCCGCTGGTGTCGAATGAAGTGCAAGTCTGCCTGTTCCTTCCATTCTGCTCTCCTGGTTTCATTGCAGACGGATGGGGAGACAGCTGTTAATGGTGCTGCTCGCTCTTGTTACTATTTTCTCATCCTCTACCTTTGTTCTGTTTGCTTCAGGACAGCTGCTTCATCCTTTGGAAGGTTTTTAATAATACACACTTCCCTCTCGTGTAGAATCCCCACAAAATTATTACAGGATATAGCTAATAAAGACTCCTCCTTTCCCCCCTTCTGGTTTGGTTCGTGCAGTTACTGCTCTGAATGCTATCCGTGGGAGCCTCAATGATCCGCAAAACTATCTCCAGAATTGGCAGGGGAACAATCCTTGTGCCTTGAACTGGACTGGTGTTATTTGCGATTCATCCTCTGATGATGGCTATCTCCGCGTCCGAGAATTGTACTTACTATATGGATTCTTAATCTACATAAATCTGTACTGCTTGCTTTTTCCAACCTCTTTCTTTCTCCTTCTGCCAACTAAAACGAATTGTGTTTGATAACAACAGGCGTTTGATGAACATGAGCCTCACTGGAACTTTGGCTCCACAGCTTGGCGAGCTGAACTACACCATTTACTTGTGAGTTACTGCAGCTATCCCCTTTCTTGCGTTGGTTTTATTCTGAGCCTTCTTTGAATTTCTGTTTCATTGCAGGAACTTTATGTGGAACAGCATAACTGGCAGCATACCAAAGGAGATTGGCAAAATGAACTATTTGCAGATTCTGTATGATATATATATATATATATATATATGAATGAACTCTTATAAAGATCAGAATTTTGTAGTCATAATAGATACACAAATGATGTGACCTGACAACCAATCGTACTGTTCTTGTTGAATTTGCAGGATGTTGAGTGGAAACCGGATCTCAGGTCCTTTACCGGATGAGCTTGGCTTTCTCCCTAACTTAACCAAATTCCAGCTGGACCTGAACCAGATATCAGGGCCGATACCAAAAACATTTGGCAATTTGGAGAAAGTACAACACTTGTGAGCACTCCATTCCACTAAACCCAATTATTCCCTTCATCCCATTCTCTTGCTTATGTGCCGATTGTACTTTTCCATTGCAGTCATATGAACAACAACTCATTCAGCGGCCAGCTTCCAATGGAGCTTTATAATTTATCTGCACTGGTGCACTTGTAAGTTGGTAACGATTAAGCTAAGACGTCGAGGCATCCATTTCCTTATTTTCTCTGCTGATTGCTCAATATCCCCACCTGGTGTCAGTTGTAGCAATCCTGGTTTTTAATGGCTCACTTTCTGCTAAACTCACTACAGGCTGTTGGATAATAACAATTTATCAGGCTACCTTCCACCAGAATATTCTCGGATGCCAAAGCTGAAGATAATGTATTTCTACTTCTCGGTCATGTTTGTTTGCAACTGTCTTTTTTCATTTAAAGTCAACTATGATATGCTGTTTTGCAGGCAACTGAACAATAATAACTTCAACGGGACACAGATTCCAGATTCATACGCAAATATTTCCACCTTGTTGAAATTGTAAGCTCCTTCCCTCCTCCTAGCTCCAGATTTTGCATCTGGCATACGGCTAATATGTTACCATTTAATTCTTCAGAAATGGTCTTTAGGTTTCTCCAATTCATGTGTGCGAGTGATCTATGGATTTGTTTTAACTTGTGTTGACAAAAATGATCCTTGTCTGGAAGCTCTCTATAACTGTAGTGATGGCTTGATAAATGGGGCACGCTGTTGAATTTGCAGGACTCTGAGGAACTGCAAGTTGCAAGGTCCTGTTCCAGATCTAAGCACTATACCTGGTCTTTATTACTTGTAAGTATGCAAGTCTTTCACTGTTGAGAGATGGAGTTTTTATACAACTCCCGATTTTTATCATTTGGTATTGATCTTGCAGGGACCTGAGGTCCAACAACTTGACTGGAAGCGTACCAACTAATAAGCTTGCCAATACCATCACTACCATGTGAGCTTTTTTCACCAATCTCTTACCAGCCAAAGTTTAGTTCTTGAATGCCTGTTTTTATCCCAACTTAAAGTTCAGGCAGTAGATGAGTTCTCTTTCAACATAGTGCATGGTGTCTAGTTTTTATGCATAATAGGACCTTGGTTGTCTCTTACTAAGTTTGCAAATACTGCAGTGACTTGTCCAACAATTATCTCAGTGGACCTATACCCTCAAGCTTTTCAGGCCTTCCACGCCTTCAAAGATTGTAAGTAGATTGCTGTTTCTGATGGTAATAGGATTATCAAGCTCATCCGTTGGTGATGTTTCGATGATCTTCGATTTGCATAACATAACAGGTCACTAGAGAACAATAACTTGAATGGCAGTGTTCCCTCCACCATCTGGCAGAGCGTGAATTTTAGTGCAGAGGCAACACTCACTTTGTAAGTCAAAAGTTTAAAACTTGTTTTCTCCCTTTTGAAGTAGCTTTTGTATTGTTCAAATGATTCACATTGCTGACAATACAGGGACTTCCAGAACAATTCCCTGTCAGATATTTCATCCCTCCTAGCTCCACCTGTCAACGTTAGCGTCAGGTGAGATTCATTTCAAGCAGAAGAATTTTGGAGTAACGCCAGAGAACCATCAATGGTGTAATTTTTCATTGTACGGCTACATTATTACAGGTCTTGCTATTACAACAATACCAACTTAGCTCACCAAATGTGTTGATGTTTAAACCAGGCTCCAGGGCAATCCTGTTTGCACAAGTACAGACGCACTGACAAACTTGATCCAGTTCTGTGGAACGCCCACAACAGATGCTGAGTCTCCCAAAATCTCAAATGGTTCAGTTGAAGGGGGCTGCAAGCCTCAATCTTGCCCAGGCAGTGGCGGGTATGAATATTTCCCAGCAGCAACCCTCCCTTGCTTTTGTGCAGCTCCTTTCGGAGTTGGGTTGCGGCTGAGGAGCCCCAGCATTTCAGATTTTCGCCCTTACCGAGACTACTTCAACAATTACATGACTGGCAACCTCAGCATTGAATCATACCAATTACTAGTGGACTCTTTCCAGTGGGAAGAAGGTCCCAGGCTCAGATTGCAACTCAAACTCTTCCCGCCACAAAATGAAACTGATTTCAATTTAAGCGAGACTCAGAGAATTCAGAACATGTTTTTCAACTTCAAAATCACTGGTGACAACATTTTTGGTCCCTACGATCTGCTCAACTTCACACTCCGTGGAAATGGTAATAGTAAAGTTTCATAATACTTGCTTTTTGGGATAAAGGGTGCAGACATTGCAGTTAGTTGAAAGTGTTGGTTTTCTTTCTCTTTTGTATTGGTTGGCAGCGGTTATATTTAATCCTTCTGGAAAGGGAGGAGGGAACAATGCTTCAAAAGTGGGGATCATATTAGGAGCAGTCTCTTGTGCAATTGCATTAGCAGTGGGCATTGTGGTTGTTTGGCACTTGAAGAGGCGGAGTAAGCAGCAGCAAGTTTCAGGTGGAAGAAAGCCAAGTAATATTGATGCTTCCTTGATCTTAGTTACTCATCCTTGATTCTCTACTATTGCTTGTGGCAGAAGTAAACTGAGCTGCTCTTATGTAATTATATGATGTGTAGCTCCAAAGATAGGATTGAAGATAGAAGGAGTGAAGGAGTTTGGATTTGAGGAGCTAGAGAAGGCAACTAGTGGGTTCAATGGGAGCACTCAAATTGGGCAGGGCGGGTACGGCAAGGTTTACAAAGGGGTTTTAGGAGACGGAACGACTGTGGTGGCGATAAAGCGTGCGAGGCAAGGTTCCCTGACGAGTGAGAAAGAGTTCTTTACTGAGATTGAGCTCCTCTCTAGGCTCCACCATCGCAATTTGGTCTCCTTGCTTGGCTACTGTGACGAAAAAGGGGAGCAGGTATGCTTATACAAGATGACATGTCGATTTCCAACCCTTACAAACATTAATCCTTCAATATTTGTCTTTTTGTTGGTTGCGAGAGCAGATGCTGGTGTACGAGTACATGCCAAATGGTTCAATTCACGACCTTCTTTGCGGTACATTTCTTTCTTGCTTCAACACTGCTATATCACGCAAACTAAGGCTTCTTTCTCCCAAAAAAATTGTTGTCTGTATAAGCGATATGAAAAAGAAGAGACAAAAAAAAAAAAAAAAAAAATGCAGGGAGGCATGAGAAAGCAGCAAGCTTAGGGACGAGGCTGACCATAGCGTTGGGTGCAGCCAAGGGGATTCTGTACCTTCATGCGGAAGCAGACCCGCCGATCATCCACAGAGACATCAAGGCCAATAACATTCTGCTCGACTCCAAGCTCACGCCTAAAGTCTCGGATTTTGGCATCTCTAGGCTCGTCCCCAAAACAACGGACGACGAGACTGATGATGGATATGGATCATACGGGGAGTCAAGCTCAGCTCCCATTTCCACTGCTGTCAAAGGAACTCCTGTAAGTCCTCGTAAAATTGGATGTTGTCTGTCTTATTTATTATATAGATGAAGTCCTCGTATAATGCATCCATCATTTCATTTCCCAGGGATACGTGGATCCAGAGTACTTCAGGAGCCACAAGCTAACGGAGAAGAGCGACGTATACAGCATGGGGATAGTGCTGTTGGAGCTGGTTTCTGGGATGCAGCCCATTTCTCATGGTAAGAACATAGTGAGGGAGGTTTCGTTGGCGTGGGAGACTGGGATGATGGAGTCGATAGTGGACCGGCGACTGGGCCCATCTTACCCGAGAGGGTGCGCCTACAGGTTTATGGGCCTGGGCCTAAGGTGCTCCCACGACGACCCTAAGGCCCGGCCTACCATGTCCGAGGTGGTCAGGGAGCTGGAGGATCTCTGCTCGTCGATGACATCATCTGACGGTCAGCTGGAGGAGGGCGATGTCGCCGGAGGGAAATGGAGCTATGGGTCGGCGCCTGCCATGCGATCGGGCAACTATAGAGGCGGGGACAGTGGCGGTGGTGGCACGTTAACGTTTGTTTCCTCTGCTTCAGCTGGCGGTGGCTTCCCTGACCGTGGGAGTGATCTTGTTAGTGGGGTCATTCCCACCATTCGACCTCGTTAGTCTCTGCTTTTCCTTCGCTTCCTTTGATCTTTCGTTTTACTCTGAAGTTGGTCGAATAGTCACTTTGATCGTGCTTACGTGCTTGTTTGGATTTGATGGTATTGATTACACTTGTTAATAAATAACAACAAAATAGTGAGTGCTGTTGTGATTTAATCGAGACGAGTAAGGACAAGGAATATACGTTTGTGGCGGGCGACTGACGAGGGGCGGGCGGCCAGCAGAATTCACAAGTTTGCGTTTAGGGGAGGCTCTGTTTTGCTCCTCCGGTACCGGTAGGCAGGGGATATCCGGTTCTACTAGTTCTAGATAAAATTTCTCCACAACCAAACAAAAAGACGAGTAGTAATGAAGAAGATGTCTTCAATGGAATTGCATGTGCCAGTAGTTGTTGTCATGAAGAGGATACATTAATTGTTTTGTCCTTGCCTCGGTAGTGGATCTTCGTGGCAAACCAGAGATTGATTACTATTCTTATCTTTTTTCCAGAGTCGTTATGAGAGGATGTGTATAGCAGAGGCTAACAATAACATACATGGTATAGAACCTTTAAGATTTTTATTAATTCCTTCCAACTAATATGTACAGTACTCGATAGCATAAAAATTAGAGCGAAGATTTTTATTAACTCCAACTTGGGGAAGAAAGTAACACTCGCAATTTTTTTTGTGTGTGTCAAAAGTAACACTCGCATTTCAGTCAGCCATGCCCTTGATAAACATATCTGCAGTGCATATATACTCTGGCGTGGCGGCTGTTGAGAGTTCTTCTCTCCTTGGAGGTTGCGGTGCGGATTCATTTCCCTCTCCGTTTCTTCTTCCCGTTTTCATCGCCGGATTGTCGCCGTCAGAGTATCACATAATAATAATTAAAGTGAAAAAGAAGGCTTCAGTTCAGTTCAGGAGGAGGGGGCAGGGCAAGAAATGAAAAGTCCACCGCCGGCATGTCAACATCATCTTTCTTTCTTATAATAATAGTTGCAGAAAGAATAAACAAGTGCGTATGTGTGCACTGCATTCCCATTTGTTTAGTGATAATGTCAGAAGTTCTGACTCGGAACGGAAGCACTTTTATCCTCTCTGCTTGCTCTGGGTACTCTCTCTGCCCACCCGTCATTTTCCCAGTCCTGATTTTATTATTAACAGCGTGCTTCCACAATTGCTTCTTCTCTAAACCTTCCCCCTTCGTTCTCATCGCCCACCCTGTTCCTTTTTAATTCGATATCATTATTATGTTATGCTATTTCGGATTGTTGTTCACCAGTACCAGGCGCCGCCGCTGTCAACAACAACTGGGTAAGCTTTTATTTTTCTCAGTCTCCCAGAAGATCTATCTATCCTCACTCCTTCCTATGTTATGATGACATTCATCTCATTTATTGATTCCTCTCTATGTCTCTTTAAATGCATCCCCATGTTTTCTTCCCGGTACTAAATTTGTTGATGTACTCCAAATTTGGCAGCATCCTCCTCCTGCCCTTCCCCATCCCATCCCACTTCTGAAAAGTCAAAACCTTTACATCTCCCCCCTTCTCTTCCCCACCCACCCTCCTTACAATATCATCTATCCATACCCACATAAAAGGGGCAAGCTTGTTTGCTTGCTTGCTTTCACTTCTGCTTCTGGCCTCTGGGGTTCGGCTTACCTCTTCCCAACAAAGACTGAAACTTTTACTTTTCTTTTTCTCTGTCATTCCAGTCCTGACTTTCCCCTTCTACTGATACAAGAAAGAAGAAGAAGAAGAAGAAGAAGTGAGGTTCAAATATGGCGAAACTCACAGTGGGAGCATGCGTGTTCACGGCGTCTTGCTGTTGTTTGCTCATTCTCGCTATTGCACACGTTACTCATCCGACGGAAGGTGACCCAATCATAAAGGATACTGTACTCTCAAATTCTTGTGATGACTATGGCTTCTATTTGATTACATACATAAACATGCTCTCTGTATCTGGGTGTTTTTTGGCAGTGGGTGCATTAGTTGCGGTGAAGAATCAGTTGATTGATCCAATGGGACATCTTCACAATTGGAATAAGGAGGGGGACCCTTGTACTTCCAATTGGACTGGTGTCTCGTGCTTCGATGCAATCGGTAGCGATGGATATCTTCATGTTAGGGAGCTGTAAGTGCCTCCTTCACTCCCTTATCCTACAGAGAAGCATGAATTTCTGCAGCTTTTCACGCTTAGCTATTGCATCTATTTGAACTAATATTGTAGGCAGCTTCTCAACATGAATCTCTCTGGTGTTCTGGCCCCTGAGCTTGGCCTGCTCTCTGGTCTCCAGATATTGTGAGCTCACAGATCTGCTACTATGTTTTCTGCTTTGTATTTTGCAAAATTGCAATCTTGTGGCCTTTGTCTATCTGATGCTTGTTTCTTGGTTTTTTCTATCCAGGGATTTCATGTGGAATCAACTGAGTGGTTATATACCCAAGGAGATAGGAAACATCTCGTCTTTGAAACTCCTGTAAGTTGGTAGCTTCTTCAAGCAAAACATATTGATATTTGTGCAAATATGCTTCGCCATTCCTGAGGGTTTTTCTTGTGTTTCTGTTCTGTTTACCAGGCTATTGAATGGGAACAAACTATCCGGTCCACTGCCTCCTGAGCTAGGCTATTTGTCCCATCTAAATAGACTGCAAGTGGACGAGAATGAGATCTCAGGTCCAATCCCAAAATCATTTGCCAACTTGAGCAGTGTGAGACACCTGTAAGTTTGATCTCCATATGACCTTGCTAGTAGTTCTTCCAATTACTCTGCTGGTGGTGGGATAGCTTTCTCACGTGTAATAATATCTCTTCTGCATACTCACTACAGGCACATGAACAACAACTCAATCAGTGGTCAAATCCCATCTGAGCTTTCCCAAGCATCGAGCCTCTTGCATTTGTAAGTTCGTCAGTTGATTTGAAATGTCAGCCTCAGTGGGTACTTAAGGACGTCTCATTATCTGAATCCAATATTTGCAGGCTGTTGGATAACAATAACTTATCTGGATATCTTCCATCAGAACTGTCAAACTTGCCAGTCTTGCGTATACTGTATGTGTCCCCGTCCCTTGAATTCCTGTTGGATCTCTTGTGCTCTTGTTACTCTTTTCATAAGTTTTTCCATAGGATGTGTTTTTTTTCAAATATTCACAATTATCTTAATCCTGGCAAGAGAAAACATGCTTACATTAGAGGAATTGTTCGTGTGTACAGTCAGCTTGACAACAACAACTTCAATGGATCTCACATCCCAGTTACGTACAGCAACATGTCAAGACTACTGAAATTGTGAGTCCTTTCCTATAGTATATATGTGTGCTTGTTGTACATACAGTCAGCTTGACAACAACTTCAAATTACTTGCATGAGTGCTGTTTGATTTTGGTACTAAAGAAAGTTGCATCTTTTCTCCTGTGACAAGGTAGAAGTCTTAGAAATTGCAGCCTCCAGGGTGCTATTCCTGACTTCAGCAGCCTAACGAGTCTTCTGTATTTGTATGTAGTCTCTACATCATGGTGATTGGTGAACAATAGTATTTAACGTTTAACTAATTTTAGTGATGCAATTATATCTGTTAACATGTCATTTGGCTCACCTTACAGGGATCTGAGCCAGAATAGCCTTGTTGGACCTTTACCAGCAGAACTTTCTGATAATATGAGAGCTATGTGAGTAATGCCCAGACTTTGCAATTTTTAGCTCAATGACATTCAAACAAGGAGGGGAAATATATTATTTTCAATCATTCTCCACGAGTGAATTAGTTAGCGTCTAACTGAAGGGTACTAACTTTTCATATTCTGTTTAATTGCAGTGATCTCTCCCATAACAGCCTTAATGGATCTATACCTGCGAGTTATTCTAATCTTCCCTTGCTTCAATCACTGTGAGATTCTATTTTTACTGTTTTTGTTTGGGAACTTTTCTTTGAAGGAAATATAGTGACAGTGCTCGGTAGCAGTCATATTGCAATGGCTTTCTGTATCTGAAGACAAACTTTGCTTGCAGGTCAGTTGAATATAATATGTTGACTGGTTTTGTTCCAACTACAATCTGGCGGAATATCTCGTGGGGTTCATCTGCTAGGCTAATGCTGTAAGTATTAATTTCTAGACTTTTTCAGGTGACATTGATATGATACATTCATATATCAGAATCTCTAACTCGTGCTTGATAATCACAGTGATCTTAGGGAGAACTCATTCTCGAGTGTTCAAGGAGAACTAAATCCACCAAGTAATGTAACCTTAAGGTGATAATTTTGAATTTGACATGTACAGTGATCTTAGTCTATTCACTTAAGAATTGTGTTTTTCCCCCCGTTTCTGATCATTATGGCAGTTTTTGTTTAGGCTGCAAGGCAATCCTATCTGCAAGAACACTAATATAGCAAACATTGGCAAATTCTGTGAATCTGGTGTTGGAGTGGGAGATTGGACTGCTATTGAAAGGTCTTCAACAATGTCCAGCATAAGCTGTCCAGTCCAGGCATGCCCTACCGATGATTTCTTCGAATATGTCCCATCATCACCTTTGCCGTGTTTTTGTGCTTCGCCTCTTAGAATTGGCTACCGACTTAAGAGCCCCAGTTTCTCATTTTTCCGGCCATACCTTGTCGAATTTGTGACCTACATAACCAGTTCTCTTGGGTTGGAGCTCTATGAGTTATCGATCGATACATATTCCTGGGAACAAGGTCCCCGTTTGAGAATGTATCTGAAGATTTTTCCTGCATGGGATAATGCTACACACTCGAGTGCATTTAATTTATCAGAAGTTCAACGAATAAGGGGTAGGTTCACATCATGGCGCTTCGCTGGTAGTGATCTGTTTGGACCATATGAGCTGCTCAACTTCACTCTACTTGGACCTTATTCTCAGAGTATGTACTTTAAATGCACTGCTGGGTAGCATTTAATGTGCGTCATGGTAGAATAGTTCACTATCTTTTTTTCCTTCTTCTGTCCAAACAGTGAACTTGGAAGATCAAAAGGGGAGTATGAGTAAGGGAGCCATAGCAGCCATTGTGGTTGGTGCTGTTGCCTGTGTGGTTGGACTTTTTGCAATAATGGTGCTTCTGGTTGCTAGAAGAAATGCTAGATACCGTCATAAACTGTCTAGGAAACATTTATGTAAGCTGCTAAAGAGAGGAATTATTGGTTTCTCCCTATGTCCTTGCTTGGTGAGATCATGATCTGATTTATTGATATGTATTTTCTTACGGTTGTTCTTTCGTGCAGCCTCAGTAGCATCCATGAAAATAGATGGGGTAAGAGACTTCAGTTTCAAAGAAATGGCTGTGGCTACCGACAACTTCAGTAGCTCGAGTGAAGTTGGTCGAGGGGGGTATGGGAAGGTGTACAAAGGCATTTTAGCAGACGGAACAGTGGTGGCCATAAAACGTGCTGAAGAAGGTTCTTTGCAAGGACAGAAGGAGTTTCTGACTGAGATTAAGTTATTGTCTAGACTGCACCATAGAAATCTGGTTTCCTTGATCGGTTACTGCGAAGAGGAAGGGGAACAGGTAGGTACCCAACCTAATGTTCTTTCTTTCTTTGGATTCTCTTCAAATTTGGAGTGAATAGGTAGTTGGATCAATCAGGTTGAGGTACTTTAATGGTGGTTGTTGGCTTCCTGTTGGTTCACAGATGCTGGTATATGAATTCATGCCCAATGGAACATTGCGCGACTGGCTTTCTGGTGACATATTAACTCCGATTCCTTCCTTTCTTTGCTTAATTGATGGATGAGCATTAGAAGTTTAGAACACTGTTAATGCAAGTGAATTATTTTGTGGCAAATGGTGGTATTGCAGGTAGAAGCAAGGAGAGAGTACTGAACTTTGGGAGGAGGGTAAGCGTGGCATTGGGGTCAGCAAAGGGCATATTGTACCTTCACAGGGAAGCAAACCCTCCAGTGTTCCATAGAGACATCAAGGCTACCAACATACTATTGGACACAAAGCTGACGGCCAAAGTAGCTGATTTTGGCCTCTCCCGCCTAGCACCTGCTCTGGAAGATGACGAGGAGCCTGCAGGCAATGCGGCCAACCATGTTTCCACCGTAGTAAGGGGAACGCCGGTATGTACTTTCATAAAGTAACTAGGTTGGTCTTGGGTACTGTGGGTTGAAGTTGGAGAGAGGAAACTATTTGGTTTGGATCGGGTATGAGTTAAAATGTGTTGTCCACTTCAGCAAATCAGATTATTGTTATCTTCGTTATTTTGAAGTTCTGTTGCTCGTGTTTTATTATGGTGCTGAGTTGACAAATTGAAGATGTGTAACAAAATTGCACGTATGTACATGCAGGGATACCTTGACCCAGAGTACATGCTGACGCACAAGCTTACTGACAAGAGTGACGTGTACAGCTTTGGGATTGTGCTGCTCGAGCTGCTGACGGGGATGCAACCCATCTCCCACGGGAAGAACATAGTGAGGGAGGTGAAGATGGCGTACAGTTCGGGGATGATGTTCTCCATCATAGACAGCAGAATGGGTTCATACCCTTCCGAATGCGTGGAGAGGTTGGTGAGCCTGGCCCTTAGATGCTGCAACGAGAGGCCCGAGACGAGGCCTCCCGTGGCAGAGGTCGTCAGGGAGCTGGAGGTCATCGTCAAGATGATGCCTCCTGCTGAAGCTGCTGTCGCTGTTGCCGATTACGACGATGAAGACCGGCCTTCAATGATGATGCAAAGTGCATCATCGGAGACAGGGGTTTCGGGTTCAAGTTGTACAGTCGAGGGGCCATCATCATCATCAGCTTCAGCTGCATTTTACACGAGCAGCAGCAACGGTGGGGGAGTCGGTGAGCGGCCATCTCTGCTTAGTGTGTCGGGGAGTGATTTGATGAGTGGAGTAGCTCCTACCATAACTCCTCGGTAGCTCTTCGCTCAAATGGTTGTTGGTGTACTAGGCAAAAACAGGTTGTTTGTTTATATGTATAGTCAAACAGTTATTAGTAAAAGGGAACAATGTACAGCCGGTAGGGGTGAAGTTTGTATTTTGTTTCTTCTTATCTGAGTTTTACTTCAAATTTTGCATACATACGGATACGGATACGGATACACTATAGAGGCAGGTAGAGCAATGTACATTACCTATCTTTTTCATCACTTGACAAAGGTCGAATGGGATTACCATTTGCAGACCAAATAGAAGAAAATAAGGCAAGAAAGGAATGTAACATTTCTTCATCACTCGCAACTGAAATGTTGATGGCGGGGAAGACATCCTGCAAGTTGAAGTGCATCCTAAACTCGTTTGATGAGTGGGAATTTACTTGGTGGGTCTCAAGCCAGGGAAATGACCGTTGGTTAATTTTTCAGTTTGTTTGTATTCTTTGGGTTTAAGTTTCAACCGTTGAGTTACTTGATGTGTGGTAAAAAAAATTGAACACAACTGTATAATTGCTTCCGTTAATAAGTACAGTAACTATCTTTTTCATGACAAAACTCGATTGAGATTACCATTTGCAAATTAAAGAGATGACAATAAGGAGAGAAAGGAAGGAAACATGTCTTTGTAGTTTGTACATTCATATAAACAAAGCTCGATTGGGCTCTTATATCACTTAACTCACAAGTCACGTCTCTATTTTACAAAGTTGCTAAATTACATCAATATCATCTAGATTTGCACAACTATCAAATACAACATTTTCTTTGTCAAAATTATTGCCAGTAGACACAAATCAATTTTTTTTGTGTGTGAAAAACGGTGCAAAGCACCATTACCTCTTACTCATTAAGAGAACGAACAATAAAGCCACCAACAATGTCATACAAAATCCAATTTGCAATATTAGGATCAGAAGGGACAATAGCATGAGTCCCTAAAGGTAAGCTATGGCCATGATGAGCCAGGCTATCGGAAAGAAAATTGGCCTCTCGATAAATGTTAGTCACCCTTGTCTCTTAGTTTCGCTACTGAAGCTCTCTGAAAGCAAGAACGATGCTCGCATGCTGGTGCCTGGTGGTCTATCGACGCGGTCGTTGACAACATGTGAACGGTAGCCCGTGAGTCGAGCTGTAGCTCAACCCTCTTGTACCATGTATCCCACGCCAACTGTAGTCCCTTAAGAGTGCCCCATAGCTTCGCGCGAGTGCTCGAGCATCTCCCTAGCCCCTAACTTCATCGCATAGGCCGCTAATAAGCGACCATGCCCGTCTCTAAGCGCTCCTCCTGCAACGGTGGACCCTGATGATCACAAAAGCGAGCCATCAGAGTTCATCGTGAACTAGTCCGTCGGGCGCGGTCTCACCCAATAGCCATGTCTCGACGCTACCCCGACTTCATCAGTGATATAGCATGATTCGCTGCCTTACTTTTTTGGGCGACGACCTCCCAGGCTAGGATCTTTTGCTTAATCTCCTTAGGGGCTTCCATAATGTCTGGAAAGATATGATCATTCCACGAGCGCCATAAAAACCAACAGACGAAACCGAAGCAAACCTGGTCGTTGGGGCTCGCGAGGTAGGAGATGAACCAATTTGTGAAGCTGCGGGTATCCGTCTGGGTGGCAGCTCCAGGAAGCGCAAGCTCCTAGGCATATGGACAAGTCATGAAGACATGCTCTGCAGTCTCGGCATGAGGCCAAGGTTGTCATTATAGTGTACTTATCCTTATAAATTATATCAGATCTCATCTAACATATGGGTTATAACATATAATATTACACCAAAATAACATGTCATAGTTAGATAAAAAATATAGTGAAGATTCACACACACTTATACAACATCAATATTCAAATGTTCAATTTAGGATTCCAAAGATTGAGTTAGGTGAAAAGAAAAATAGGAAAATAAACGCATTTCGCAACTAAAGAAAAAAATGACACAATTTGATCTCCAACCCAGTACCTTATAGTGGTCCACCCAACGGGTACGTGCGACCCATTTTTCTCACCGGGCCAGTATCAAAGTAGGTTGACCCGCAGACAACCTTGCATGAGACACAAATCAATTTATGATAACAAAATAAAAAAAACGTATTCCGGCCAACTGACCGAGCAGAAAGCTAGTTAATAGAAAATGTATTCTTGTCGAGGTTGCGCAAGAAAATACTACATAGGCCTGATTCGCCTGAAGCTGTCAAGTAGGCCGAGTTTTTTTTCTTCCAAAAGTAGGCCGAGTTTGGAGTTTGGACCCATAGCGTAAAAGCCCGCGTTTAGGACTTAAAATATACTAATTTCCCTCCACTAAACTCCACGGCACAATCTCGATGGACCAGCAAAGTCCCGCCACACCCTCCACCGCCCAAACTCCTGTCACCGTCGCCGTCTCCCAACCGGTCGACCCCCCGCCGGCACAACCTCCCCCTTCGCTGCCACAAATCTCTGCCACGCTTCAACAACACCAGAATCCTCCACCGCAGCAGCAACACCAGCATCCTCCGCAGCAGCTACAACAACAACATCAACTATTGATTGCGCAGCCGTCGCCTTCCGCCGCTCTCACGCCGATTCCGAACCCTAACCCTAACACGTCTTCAAAACCTTCAATTCCGGTCGTCCAGCCTCAATCTCAACCTGCGCCAGGTGGTGCCGCTACTCCTAGGCCCCACCGACAATGGCAACATCCCCACCCTCACACTCACTTCCAGCATTTCTCTTCTCCTTCGCCTCCCACCTCGGTCGCTTCTATTTCGTCGGCCACCTCAGCTCCGGTTTCTACCCAGCAACAGAGAGGCGGCATCGCGATTGGTGTCCCGGCGACCCATCCTACCCCTTATGGGCAACAGTTCGGGGGATTGAATCGCGGCCCTGTCAATGTGCCTGATTCTGCTACTAGTTCCACTGCTTCGCAGGTGAGCTAGCATCTCTTTTGTCGTACTTACTAAGTTCTGTTACCAGCGGGCTTGCTTTATTAGTTCGGGAACAAAGGTTCACCCCTTAGGTGTTTTAAGAGTTAACTTTTAAGGTTATCCAGGTAACGATAGAGAGAATCTGTAGAATCGGAGTTTCCTTAGCCACCTGACCTAATAGGTGATTGAATGTAAACTGTTTGCATGTTCCGTTAATTTACTCACTAACGAGGTATCACTTGTCTTATGGATTGTCTATGTGTAGGTAAGGCACGGGATGCAGGGAATAGGGATGATGGGCTCAATGGGTTCAAGCTCTCAGATACGCCCGGGTGGGATTCCAGCTCATCAACAACAGAGACCTGTTCAATCTTCTATTAGGCCGTCAACTACTCCCAGTACTCAGTCTCAGAATACCCAGGTCAGTATCAATATGTTTTGCAGTGTTTAATGTGAAGTCCTTGTGGATTGTATATTGTTTGTTATAAAGATTTGAAAGTTGCTTTGTGCGTTATTTAGTCAGTACAATGTTGAACTTTGAGATTAAGTTTAAAACCTTGCAATGCTAATCATTACTGGTTCCCCAATTATGCAGAATTTCCAAGGTCACAGCTTCATGAGGCCATCAGGTGGTCTTGCAGGCGCCTCAGCAACAAACACTTCACAAAGTTTGCAGCTTCCCAACCAACCATGGTTGGCTTCTGGGTCTCAGGGAAAGCCTCCGATACCTCCCGCTTCACATAGACCACAAATGAGTCCACAAACCTTGCAACAAAGGGCACCTGTTCCTCAGCAGCATCATTCTGTGCCTGCGACTTCTCATCAGCAGCACTCTCCCTCTTCTGCACAGCCCCAACAAGCAGGAGAGCAGACTGCAAGAACCCTCGCTTCAGTGTCTGTTCCTCATCCGCAGCCGAGTCCAAGAGCAGCCAATCAAAAGCAGCCTTCGCAAGCAATGCCACAACCAAGTGCACTGCAGACTGTGAATAAGGCAGCTAATACAGAAATGGATGAAACAAGCACTCGGATCTTAAGCAAAAGAAGTATCCAAGACCTTCTCGGCCAGGTGAGCCTAATCCGAGCCCATTTATATGACGGTGCTTTCTAATTATAACCGTTTTACTTGGATGTATTCAGATAGTGTTTAATTTGAGAAACCATCTCGCTATACCGGTTGTACATTCTTCAGCTTGCATGACTTGACGAATATGGTTTAGTTTTCCTCTGATACAAATAATGTTTAGTATTTGGCAAAGGAATTCACCAATTTACACGTTTTGACCCATGCTCCAACCGAGTATGTCATCAATTTAAACACAAATTGTGGTTAATTTTAATTTGTAGATTATATATTATGTGTTGAATGATGTCAAGCCAAGTGATAGTAGGCAATGCTGCTCCTCCTACATGATGATCTAAAATGAAAAGCGATGTGTAAGAGGTAAGAAAAGAGAGCAAGTTGAGGGGACTAGATGTTGAGGGCATCATCTGAGGGTTCCTGTTTGATTACTGGTTCCATTTCAATCAAATGCATGGTATACGTTGCAGTATTTACCTGTTTGTGTGTGTGTGAACTCTGTTGTATTCCTCCATCCTGTTTGACAGATTGATCCTTCAGAGAAATTGGACCCAGAAGTTGAAGATATTCTTGCTGATATAGCAGATGAATTTGTCGAGTCTGTAAGTAATTTGCTTGTGCGGTATTAAGGATTGGTTATCATACTTTATAGTACTAATACCCTTGTCTAAGGACTTGCTTTGCCAATTTTGTGCATATGATGTCTGTTTGTTATTTCTTGCTTACAGCATAATTTTATGTGCAGATCACAACATTTGGTTGCTCCTTAGCCAAGCATCGGAAGTCTGATACATTAGAAGCAAAGGACATTCTTCTACATCTAGGTTAGTTAGGCTACAAGGAGTAACTCATTGTGTTATTTATTTTAAGGATCACGGATATCTAAGGCTGCTTGGATTTTGTACAGAAAAAAATTGGAACATAACACTTCCTGGATTTAGTGGAGATGAGATCAAGACCTACCAAAAACCGGTTAGAACTTTTAATCTTGGCCGGTGATGATTAGGGGCAGTTTATTTCTTGCACCTCAAGACCTTTTGGAAATTTTATTTTGGGTGGTGTGTTTAATTGTATCTGTTTTTCTGGTTTTGCATGCAGCTAACAAATGATATCCACAAGGAGCGCCTTGCAGTAGTAAGTTCTGGTCCATTGTGCTCCAATACCAAACACAGAGAGACACGAGCATACTCTACTTGATGCAAATAAACGGTTGTTCATTCATAGTTCCAGTTGGTGATGTGTTTGCATCTTACATTTAAAGGTTTTATGACTTGAGTGTAGATAAAGAAGTCTGTATTGGCATCTGAGACGGCTGCTGCTAGGAATGTTGGACAGGGTGGTGGTGGAAGCGCAAAGAGCAACCTGACAAAGACACCTGCAAATCCATTGGTCTCTCCTCCCAACCTGACAAAGACAACCTGAAAAAAAGAAGAAAAAAAAAAAAGATGAAAGGAACTCTGCAAATACGATGGTCTCTCATACTAAGTTGAATTGGTTTGTGAAGTTCAAGTTAACATGGGAAATGTTATGACAGGTGCTCTGAATGCGTCAGCCTTTTTTGTTGGAAAAAGGTGCCTCCCTAGCTGTCCCTATAAAATGAAATGCTTTCTTCATATCATACCAGAGTTATCTACTTATTGCGACTGCACATGTGCTGAAAAAAGGTTGAAAATTGAAACCCTTTGCCCCTTAAAATAACCAATTCATGGTCCATGGATTGTTTACGCGCACTTGAGGTGGGAATATGCACTTATGTTGGTCCTGGCGATTTGCATACTTGATCTCTCGCCTAGGAATGAATAGTTGCATTATCTACAAGGCTATGATGGTTCTCGTTTATCTCTGAACAGGCTCAATTTTGGCCGGCTAGCTGACTGGGGGAACTAAAGAGTGTTTGAAATGCGGGATCTTGGTACCTTCCAGCTGCTGCAAGCGCCTTCGGATTAATGAGTATAAAAGCTGTAAAAACCTAAGTACTATGGATATTGGATGGTAGTGAACAGCGTTGCCTTGCCTTTCCTTTTTCCTAATATTTTCTTTACCCGTGGTGGTTTATAAAATAGTTGTTCATTACTAAAAATTAAAGAATTGAAGTGGGTAATGATGTATATCATGTGGAATAGTTGATGGGGGTGGGGTTGCCATGCCAGACGTACTTTTACTACTACATGTTCACCCTAGCAGCTTTTATCCGTTTAATCTCTTTGACTGCTATAATTGTATTAGGTTTCCATATTCTTGGATATTCACGTAAACTCATACTCAAATATACAGCCAAAGATTATTAGTATTTGGATAGTTAATCGCATAGAAAGAAAGGACGAATTACAAGTCACATTTGGTCACTGAAATTACTAAATCGTGTTATGTTTAGTCATTAGAAAAATTTAATATAAATTTTGGTCACTCGAATTACTATAACAGGTCACATTTAGTCACATCGGTCGCTATCTCGCTTGCCTCCATTGGATAATCGGGTCAAGCTCTTCATTGAAAGAGCGAGATTACTGAGGGTGCGAATCTTCGTGGGGATGGAGATGGACAACAACCTCCTTACGACAATGTTAGAAAGGTGGATGAAAGAAACACACACATTCCAGCTTCGAAAGGGAGAGATGTCGTTTACGTTGAAGGACGTGGCCTTTCTGACGAACCTGCCTATCAAAGGTGATGTCTTGATAGAGAGTGCACTGAGACCATTGAATGGGGGTAGCCTTTTCATAAGCGAGCATTTAGGCATCGACTTTCCCAGGGAAGCACCAGAAGGTCGTCGAATAGCACCGCTAGACAAGTCTATGTTGTCGATCCCTTGGCTAGTGTGGAGGATTGGTGTGTTGAAACTTAAGTGTATGAACATTAATTTATTTTTAGGTCGAGTAGGATCCGTATCGAGACAGATCTTTGGCGATGTACGAGTTGCGATACCCTAAGGATCGTCAACTCTGGTCGTGCAAGGTGCCTGTGATTTGCTTCAACATTGTCGAGAGAAACCTCCCGGATAGATGTGTCCGACAATACAAGTGGGCCCAACTGATTCCTTTTCCATCACCGGAATAGAAGTGTCCGGCAATACACCTCCGCCATAGCTTTCTCATTTCCATATCATGCTTTCTTGTACCTGATGGTATAATCATGTCGATTCTTCACTTCAGTGATGACACTCTTCACGATGATCCAAAGTTGTGCCTCAATCAGATGTTTAATTGTTTTTGCAACTTTCTTTTCACTTAACTGTCGCTGATCTAGAGAAATCATTGACGACCTACACGTGTGGTTTTTGTCTGCTTTACGAATGAGCCACGTCCCATTTCTTTTAACATATGTCGTTCGAACATGCCGCAAGCATCTGTCGTCATGGTTTTCGCAGCAGACATGAATTTGTTTAGTGTCGGAAGTGTCAACACGATATTGAAAGCTTGCTCTTTCGCATCGTTATTTCTTTTAATGCATCTACAACCTGAGGCTTTCCTCCAAATGTTTGACCAACCCAGAATTAGGAGTCCAAATGGGTACACGAGGGAGGTCAAGATCGTCGTTGTCAGCATGGAGAGTATGTTGTGGCACCATCGTGTAGTGAAGTGTGCAGGGTTCAAATTCCTCCTCCTCAACTACCACATCTTCACCATCTGAACTACTCACTGAATCTAAATCTTTCTCTTCCACGTCGCTTGCCTTGCTAATGTACAAAAGACTTGGTATATCCACATATGGATCATCGCTCACGTCAGATACTTGTGTAGATGCTTTTGTGAGTGCCCTTATGTTAGCCCATTCTTCACCCCATACTGGCCACCCTGTCCATCATGTTCAACTAATGGACCAAGTGTAATACGAGTCTCATATCCTGACCAATGGTACATCATTCGAACCTCTGAAATCTCCTGAACCGTAAAGTCCACCCGAACCTTCACCGTGTTCGGCATAACTGCCACCCCCATATTGGCCAACCTCTTCCGTCTCGACAAACACCTCGACAATTGGAAATCTATTTTCCGCTATAAATCTCAGCATATTAATGCCATCATCATCAGGCATACTTGATTATTCATATACAAGTGCATATCAGTTGTAAACCGACATACGGTAAGTCATCTTGCATACTATTCGACACCACTATGCAACACCGTTCCTCACAAATACGGCAAAGATCCTGCCAAGTAAATATGCTCTCAATCAGGACACTACTTGATTCACCATCTTCGTAGTCAATACTATTATGATAATTTGTAATTCGACAATTCCACCGAAATTAATTCGACAATAGGTCGAATTTCTGAAATTTCGTACCAAAATTTTCACATTACAATAACATAAATTACATACAGTTCAAACAATACTATATATAGCCTGCATTCAGTAATTCAAAATTCTAATGCTCATTCAACCAAAATAATCAGAACTTACCTCTAAAATGCTTCTTCTTTGCTCTGCTATGGTGCTCTAGTAGCTGCAGCCTGCAGCTAGTGTTTGGAAAGAAGATAGAAATGAGATGAGCTGCCAAAATGTGCTTATAACTGGTTTTTTATTTTCGTAAACTGAAGAGTGGTTCAAGGTGTACTAAATCGAACCACACCAGTTCGAGTTCAACAAACTCAATCCACTAGCACCAAGAATCTTATCCATGCACCCTATCCTGAAGCATGTCGGGTCGATACCGATTTGGCAGACTAATTGAAATGGATCGAGTCTTGCATCCTTGATCCAAGTTGATCGAGTCCAACCAAATCGATCCACTATCTGTCCAGAATTGATCGAGTTCTCCTTCCTTGATCCACATATGGATTGAGTCCTAGATCGAGCACTACACACTCGATCAGTGTTTGGATCGATGACCTGCAATCAATGTCATAAGTGGATCGAGTGACAGTCACTCGAACCGCTTCAAACTTTGGTAGTTTGGAAAAGAAATTATAAGTCTAGTATTTTGAGTTTTTATTTTATTTTTAATGTATTTATGGATTTTTTCACTATATATTTCAGAAATAAATCATTGGTTATTATGGTATGAAGCATTTCTAGTTTGGCATATAAAACAGGAAACACAAAACTCCAGTCCCAAAATGCCATTTTGGCGGACCAATGTACACATCAAGGGAAGGGAAGGAATCCAAAACAAGTGAGCAAAATACAACCCACAAGAATCAATGAGATATTACTGTCAAGAGGTATCATCCCATTCCCATCCAATATCCACTAAGAAAGAATATAGAATGATGCAAATGTCCAACCAATACATCGCTGGGAATTGCTCAAGCCTTGTAGAATGACACGTATCGCTAAGCAAAAGTTAAGAAAAGAATTACCTCTACCAAAACCACAATTAAAACAAAGATTAATAAACAAAAAATACGGATTACGGAGTCGGTCGCAGCGTTTTCTTCAGTAGCTCGCTCGTCACGGGAAAGTCCAACTCGCCCACGTGTCTTCACAGTACTGGCTGATGCACGATTGATGACAGTTACGTTATCATACGGAATTCACCCATCAGTTCACGGATCTGTTCCTTCCTAATCCTTCCCTCCTCCGCCTTACGGCCTTAGCAGCAGTTAGCCTCATCGTAATCGTCGTCGTCGTCGTCTCCGCTCTCTAGCCCATCGCCGTCGTACGTCGCCTAGTCGTCGTACGTGGCGCAGTCATCGTCGTCGCCGCCGCGCTTATGCATTTCCCCCGCTCCCGGACAAAACCCAGACCTGCTTCACGCCACCATTCCGCCCCCAATTATTTTAGTCATCCCATTAATTTAATCCTTCCTTCCATTTTCTGCAACGAACAGTCATCGTGGCGTGTGTGTATAAATACCAGTAGTTAGGATCCAGTTGTCCAAGCAATTTCCTAGCTGTGATTGTCGATTGCTGTTGCTGGCGGTGGTTGATTCCAGTTGTCCCTGAGAGAACCCTAACTTTGGTGGTGGCGGAGACTGACGGCGGTAGAAAATGGCGAAGGTGAACGGTGTGGTGGCTAATGGCGTTTTCGCTTCTGCTAAGCCTGAGAAGCTCATTATTGATACTGACCCTGGGATCGGTGAGTTGGCTGACCGATTTCCTCTTTATCTTCCTACTTCAGTTTCTTCACCCCCATTATAATTCCTTTGCCGGCTTTTTTAAGTGCTGGCTGAAGCAAAATGCAATTCTAGTGTGTGTATTCCTGGACATGAGCAATCAGAGGCATTGGAGACCGTAATTGGATAAAATTCTTGCAAGCTGTGCACTTTCTGTTTGCTGATTAACTTTGGGTTTACCTTTCATGGGAATTGGGGAAAAGAAAGAGAGTTAGAAAGTCTTCATCTTTAGCTGTGTTGGTTTCTTGCTTTGCTTTCACTGATAATGAGCAGGAGAGGTCCTTAAGAAAGCCGTAATCATTTGCTTCTTTACTTTCCAGATTCCAACAGTAACGAAATAGGATTTTGTGAAAGTGGCCCTCCGTTGTTGAATTCATATGAAATTCTCAGATCTGACCAACCTTACCATGCGTTATATTTGCTGGTCTTGATGTATCACAACAGCTTTTTGGAGCTCTGGTTCGTTAATATAGCTTAAGATCTTAAGTATATTTCCTAGAAAAGTTGTTTATTCACTTGATTGTGCTCATAGGGTTTGTTTTCCTAACTCAAAAGTTGTCGGATTGAAGGAGTATTTGTATCACAACACTTACCGGCTGGAATAGCTGTGCTAGTACAAGACTAAACCAGTCTAAATAACCTACTCTTGTTGACATACAGATGATAGCATGGCAATTTTAATGGCTTTTCAAACTCCGGAAGTGGAGATCTTAGGCTTGACCACAGTATTTGGTAATGTTTCCACTGAAGATGCCACTCGCAATGCTTTGCTTCTGGTAAAGTGCATGCATAGTTAATTTGTTTCGACTGCTTTCCAAGCTCCTCTTTTGATCTGGTACAGATTCATGATCACTTCCTTTTTTCCTCATTTGAAAATGGTAGTGTGAGTTAGCAGGGCGTCCTGATATTCCTGTGGCAGAGGGCTCTCCTGAACCTTTAAAGGTGACCATCTTTTACATGCCTTTTCTTAGCATGGGCCATCCAAGTTTATTATGGAATGGGATCTGTCTGGAAAGTTTGAAGATTTGGAACAAAAGTAACTACTCCGCATCAGTGATATACTGATATTGCCATTGCAGAACTGAGTTTTATTTTTTGCTCTGATCAAATATTCGTCCTCATTTATTATGCCATACTAACTTCCCTAGTCAACAAGTGTGGATGAATCTTGATTTCGTTTGATTATTAACCGTGTTTGTTTTGGCAAAAAGGGAGGGAAGCCTCGTGTTGCTGACTTTGTCCATGGTTCTGATGGATTGGGGAACACATACTTTTCACCACCAAATGCAGAAAAAAGTGTGAAGGGTGCTGCTGAATTTTTGGTTGATAAGGTTTCTGAGTTCCCTGGGGAAGTATCTGTACTTGCACTTGGACCATTGACAAACGTGGCCTTGGTGTGTTCATCTTTTCCTTGTTTACCTGTTTCTTCTATAATGATTACACAGTCAATGACTTGACAGTGACTACATATTTTTGATCAGGCGATCAAAAGGGACTCCTCATTTGCTAGCAAAGTGAAAAAGATTGTAGTTCTTGGAGGAGCCTTCTTTGCTCTGGGAAATGTGAACCCTGCTGCTGAAGCTAATGTACGTTACTGTCACTTGTCTTTCTGAAATGGAGTTGTTAGCAAGTTATTTAGCATTTTCTCGATGACTTGCAGATATATGGAGATCCAGAAGCAGCAGACGTTGTGTTTACATCCGGGGCAGACATTGTTGTAGTTGGAATTAACATTACAACTCAAGTTAAATTGACGGGTAGGAAACCAGAGATCCCTTCTGCTAAAGCTTCCTCCCTAGTATTCCTTTGTCAAATCTTAAGGCAAAAGCTCTCAGTATTACTTATGTTGTATGTTTGTTTGCAGATGCCGACCTGACTGAGTTGAGGCAGTCAAAAGGGAAGTATGCCGAATTAATATGCAATATGTGCAAGTTCTACAGAGATTGGCATGTGAAGTCTGATGGAGTCCATGGTAATGGTCCTCCAAATCTGTTGAACTAGTTAGCTGCTCCTGAGAACAGACAGTTAACATTCCATAGCAGAGCTTCACGTACATATCACATTATCTGTTACTCTGTTTCCCAGGAATTTTTCTTCATGATCCGGTGAGCTTTGTGGCGGTAGTTCGGCCTGATCTCTTCACCTATCGGAAGGGCGTAGTGAGGGTGGAGACTCAGGGCATCTGCGTTGGCCACACCCTAATGGACCAAGGCCTCAAAAGGTAGGCCAACTTTCTAAACTTTGAACCATAATAATCACTCATTTTCTTCTTGGAAATATGAGTCAGCGTAGTAAACAACACCCTTTTCCTTTTGACTGGTGTGCTTATGGTTTTAGGTGGAATACAAGCAACCCATGGACCGGATACTCGCCGGTGGCAGTTGCGTGGACGGTGAACGTGGAGGGAATCCTTGCTTATATTAAGAAGCAGCTGACGAAACCATGAATTGACAACATTAGCTTGGATGTCTTGTGTAAAGATCATTTACCAGTACTGAAGTCTTGAGTATGGATGGTCGGTCAGACTATGATCAATAGGTTCCCAAGGAATTTGAATGGATGTGCATGTAAAAGACACGTCGTCGGTCTTGGATTAATGTTGTTCATATGCATGACATCCACTGTTTCAGCATCTGCATAACAATGGCAAAGGAAAGACTAGAATTGATCGGCCATGGGCCAATCTGCAGTAAGTAAAGTAACGACTTTGCGCAGAGTTTTTTTGTTAGAATGCTAATACGATAAGCAGCTTGAACAAACCCACCTAAAATCAAATACAACTTTATGGAGAGGTCCGCTCAGATAATCAAAGATGACACACTAGCTATATGTACGCAAGGCCTATTTCTCTAAACAACGTTTGCCTCAAGGCGATCACGAAAGCGATCACAAATAGAATGAAGCCTTTGATGCGCAAACTGATTGCCCCCACCCAGAGTGGATTCATCCCTGGTCGTCAAACCAATGACAATGTGATCTTACTTCAGGAGGTTCTCCATTCGCTTCGACACAAGAAAGGAAAGAAGGGAGGGATAGTGATCAAAGTAGATTTGGAGAAAGCTTAAGACAGGCTCAGGTGGGATTTTCTTCGAGATACCTTGATGGAAATTGGCCTGCCTAGCACCTGGACAAGTCGAATCATGTTCTGTGTGGAGAATAACCAGATGAAGATCAATTGGAACGGGAAGCTCACGAATCCGATTACACCTTCCAGGGGCGTTCGTCAGGGGGACCCCCTATAACCTTACCTTTTTGTTCTTTGCATGGAAAGATTAGCCCATCGCATTGAATTAGCTGTTTCGGAGAATCAATGGAAACCTATATCTTTAACTCCCAATGGTCCTAAACTTTCACATCTTTTCTTTGCTGATGACCTCATTTTGTTTGCAGAAGCAGAAAACAAGCAGCTAGAAACTATTCGGAGATGCTTAGATGAATTCTGGAGCAGCTCTGGCCAGCGGGTTAATTTGTCAAAATCTGCTATGTTTGTTTCTCCAAACATACCTAGCAACAGAGCCCAACAACTGAGTAGTAGAGCTGGAATTCCCTTAAACGCAGACCTTGGGAAATATTTGGGGATTCATACGATTAATGGCAGAGTTACCAAGGCTAGGTATAAGGAGCTCTGCCTGCGCATACAGAAAAAGCTTGCTTCTTGGAAAACAAGACATCTCTCTTTAGCAGCTCGCTTGACTCTGGTGAGATCAATTTCTACCTCTATGACTGTCTATCCTATGTTTACAGAGGCACTTCCTACTTCGGTTTGCAATGATCTTGACAGGTGCAATCGAGAGTTCGTTTGGGGAGAGGAGGATGGGAAGTCTAAATTTCACCCGATTGCTTGGGATCATATGACGTTGTCAAGGAAGATGGGAGGTGCAGGGATCCGACCAACAAGACTCGCCAATCAAGCCTTGCTGGCGAAGGGAGGGTGGAAGCTAGTCACTAATGATCAGTCGCTATGGGCTAGAGTGCTTCGGGACAAATATGCTCGATCAAAAAAGGGACTTTCAGTTCTGCAGAAACGAAAGGGAAGCTCCATGGCCTGGCGAAGTTTTACTTTGATTATTGATGTCCTTAAAAAGGGCTATACTATTAATGTTAAAAATGGGCGGATAACTAACTTCTGGCATGATCCTTGGGTGTCGCAGGTACCGTTGATTGATATAGTACCGAGGAGATTTCGGAAAGCAGACAAGCAAAAATGGTAGCTGATCTTTGGGACCCGGACAATGGATGGAAACTGAATGAATTTCAAGACAGCCTGCCTCAACACATGATAGACAACATCCGATCGGTCTTGGTTGATCCAATGGCGGGTGAAGACGACCAAAGCATCTGGAACTTGTCCTCCAATGGCCTGTTCACAGCAAGTTCCGCCTTCAAGGCTATCTCACCGCAACATCAGAGCTCTCTCCCACCTTCCTTTTGGCAAAGAATCTGGAAACTCCACGTTCCTGAGAGAGTAAGGGTTTTCATGTGGATGGCCAGCAAAGGCAGACTGACGACCAATAGCATCCGGAAGTACCGTCATATCACCCAGGACGACAAGTGTCCGGAATGTCCGGATGTGTCAGAATCAAACCTCCACTACCTGAGAGATTGCGTTTTGGCTAAGGCGGTGTGGTTGAAAATCATCCCTGCTCAGGAGCATTCTCATTTCTTTAGCCTTGGCTATGAAAATTGGCTTCAGGAGAACATCTCTAATGAAGACCACGGTGATTGGACGGGTGATTGGGCAAGCTATTTCAGCCTCATAACCTGGTATCTCTGGAAATACAGAAATGATAGTGTCTTCAAAGGAAAGAAGTTGTCTCCCTCGTCCCTCCACAACTATGTCATGGCAAAGGCTAGAGAGTGGAGCAAGGCCTGGAGTGAGGGACGATTAGATGCAAATGCTCATGACCAACATGCAAGAACCGAAGCACTAATTTCCTGGAAAGCTCCTGCCGCCGGATGGGGGAAAATGAACACTGACGGGGCGGCTCAAGGCAGCCCGAGAATCGCCTCCGCTGGCGGAGCACTTCGTGATTCACAAGGCACGTGGCTGGGCGGCTTTTGCAGCAAGATGGGTAATGGTACAGCCATTATGGCCGAGCTCTGGGGGATTCTTCAGGGACTTCAATTGGCTTGGAAGAAAGGCATCAGATTCCTTATCCTCGAATCGGACTCTCAACTTGCTTTGGATTTGATCAAGAACAGGACGGATGCAGCTCATCTACATGCCACTATTCTTGGTTTGATTCGTCGTCTTCTCGCTCAAGGCTGGGTGGTTCAACTTGCTCATACGTACCGGGAAGGGAATAGAGTCGCGGACTGGCTCTCGAAGCACAGTCTCGTCTATCCCTTTGGTACGTATGAGTTAGATGAACCTCCAGGTGATTTAAAGAAAATTATGCAGGAGGACCTTTTGGGAGTGAGCTTCCCTCGGCAAGTCCTGCAAAGGTCCAGTAGTGATAATTGATTTTTGGTTTGAGCTTTGCTTGTTGTTCCTCCCTTCGCATCTGTGTGTGTTTGGGTGATCCTGGTGGCCTTGTAGCCCCTCTATAATCCTGGCGTCTGCCTCCCTTTTTATAAAAAAAAAAAAGAAGCTATATGTACGCATGCGATGCGACGCATCAAGAGAGAAGAAGAAAAACTCACCCTCTAACGTACGTTGGTTTAATTAATTTAATTATCAAGGAGAGGAGATGGAATGATCAACTTGAACAAAAGTTTTTTTTCAATGATCATGAAAAGCTCACATCAAAGACATTTTAACTAATATTAATTAATGAAAAAACTTCAAATGATCAATATTGTAAAGGTTTATATTATATTATATATATGGTTGTTCTAATTGGTATTAATTAATGTACCCCGCTCCATTATATTCTCCTTTTTAATTATTATTACTTACCCTGTTACCCACCACATTGAAATGAAAGCAGTACTTCTCCCAACGCCCTCCCCTTTAATTTCTTCCTTATAAACCCAACCCATAATGCATCCACCCACAAATCAATCCCCGGCCGGCCATTCTTATTATCTTCTACTAGCTTTCCAATCCATCGAAACCATTATTTATATATACACAGCTAGCAGATCAGATCGAAAAACGCACGTACGTACGTACAGATCCATGGTGCGTCGGAGTTCAGAGACGGCGGAGAAAGCGTGGGGTCGTTACTTCATCTGCATGGTGATGGTGATGCTGCTGCTGCTGAGCTGCTGCTGCTGCTGTCACCACCTCTACGGCAGCGGCGGGCGGTGCGAGGAAATATACGTGGTGAGGGAAGGAGAGACGCTGCAGACGATAGGGGACAAGTGCGGCGACCCTTTCATCGTCGAAGAGAATCCGCACATCCACGATCCCGACGACGTCTTCCCCGGCCTCGTCATCAAGATCAATCCCGGCCTTTCACCAACCTCCTCCTCGGCGTAGTCTATAGCTTCTTCATCCATCTAATTCGCCCTTCATTTATAATCTAGGCTAGCTACTCCTAATCTCATCAGGGTGGACTGGGTACGTACTATGTGTTACGTTTCATGATCGATCATGTTGATGATGATGATTTGTGACGATATATCGATCTATGTACGTGGATGGATCGTTATATTTATGTTTAGTAAATTATAATAGTGGATTTTCCAACGTTTTGCATATATATAATAATGTCACCTTGCGTTCTTCCTTAGGCAATGGTAAATATTTTGCTGCTATCTTCCGTTGCCGGAGGAAGAGACTGAAAAGGTCACCCGCTGGTAGGTAGGTATAGTAGCCTAATGATGCCACGCATTACCTCATTCCAAATTGCAAACAGAATTTAATTACTCAATAACTCTTTTCATTGTAGAAGACAATTCGTAAATAAAGTAGGCAATATGGTAACTATTCTCATCCCCATTTCTAATTACCCAAATTCGTATCCGTAATTGACAATTATACTGAGGAAGGCTTTGCAACCTCTTCCCCATAACTAAATTCATAAATTTAATATTATTACAATACCTAAGTTCAACAGGTAGATCTTCAATTTTAATACTAACAGACCTATTAAATCATGAAATCAATAAAAGTACAACCTTTAAAGCGAACTGGAAACATTGAATCCTAAATCATCTATAAGACAAAGTGCAATGCTATCTAAATCGTTCATCTCCCACTCCAACACATCTATCAGAATAATTTAACATTATTTTACACAATATAATATTGTTAACAAAGTCGAAAGAAGTGAAAAAGTGAAGGACGTGTTGAGGAAAAGAAATTAAGATTTGACTTGGCGGTGGTTATTCAATTACATTTCACCTCTTTATTTTATAAAATTACCCTTTTGTCTTTGGCAAGTTATAATTTGATCCTTATATTTTTTATAAATGAACAAATGTTTTTGAAGGGGATGGGAGCTAAAACCATACCCACCACATCCCATCGAACTTTACGTGGGTTTTACCATTTCTGCTTGATTACCAGTCAATGTGAGGAGTCCCAGAGTTCACTGAGTCTAGGAGAGGGCGTCGAATACCCGCGGTTATTAGTTTTCTTACATATTATAAGTAGCTTAATTAATATTCAGCAACTATTTAAATATACGAATGAACTAGTAATTGATGAACCAAATAGAATTGTGAATGAAACTTTTTGCACTCTGTGTGAGCAACCCTATTAATGTTTAAAACCCGAGGTATTGCAGAGAATTTGACATCATACAGGTCGTAGCTATATAGCTTTTAGATCTCGTCCAATGAGTCACATAGATGAAGGTATGTTTTCATTAGAGCTACTTCTAGATCATTTTTAATTGTGTCGTATAGAAGTAATTTATCACTTTTTTTTTGTATAAAGTACACGTATTATAATACCGTAGCTTGGTTTCCATGCTGAGTAAAAGTGATTGATATTTTTGAAGTGAAATGATGGCTATATATGTTGTTGATTGCATCTTTTCTTCTCCAACTCACTCCAAATCTTTCGGTTTGAATTTCATGCATATAATAAAATAGTTAGAAGTCTCTTTAATTTTGATGATTTTCCCCTAGTCCCACATTATAAAAACAGAATGATTCCAACATGTATAATGAGGGTGGAGATAACAATAATAATTATAGCAAAACTGAATCATGAAACCATATTCCCTGGAACTGGAAATTAGAAAAATCGGCAGGTGGTGCTACTCATTTCAAACAGGAAATTAATATCCAAAAGAAAAAAGAAAAAAATAAAGGTAACTAATTATTATAGTTTTGGGCCACCTAAAATTATACATGCATTATCCCTAACACTAGGCCCGTCTTCTGGCTGGTCCGGAAATTGTAACGGGGCGGCCTGACCCATCTTGTGTAAAAGCCCAAATAGTGGCCCAAATTCACAGTTCAAAGACGAAAACGAAAGCGGGCTGTTGTTGTGATGTCTCATGCGTCGTCGACTCGACATAATAAGGCCACAACAAACCCTGCCTTTCTGAAAAACATAAACACAGTCGACGCTGCCCGACCCGGATAGAATAGATGGAACAAAAACGTTTCTGAAAATTCAACGTTTCCCAAGGAAAGAAGAATGTGAGGAGGCAGAATATATTGCAGGGCAGGCAGCTGCTGTTCATGAAATTGACTCTAGTAGAGTTGGGATTGAGACGATGCCAAACCCTTTTGGCCGGCGGTTGCACATATCACTATCATCGTTTGAACTTTGAACTAGCAGGCAGATATTGTCCACGCACCCGCCCGCCGGTCGGTCGGTTGCCCAAAGGGCGCGGCTGTGATGATCCACTGACCTTTTTTGTTAGTTTCAAACTGGTTTCCCATTGATTTCCCACACGTACGCGTGTGAGCTTTACACCTCGTGATGTTACGTTGTTGATATTTGAGTTAACAGCTATACTTTTTCAAGATTTAAGTGAGGTGTAATTTTTCTTTCTAACGAAAAGATCACTTGAATTAATTATTAAGAACCACAAAGATATATATATATATATATATATGGTGAGTTCTACGGTACCTTGGGTGAAATTTGGGGTACCGCATACCTTGAGTATGAAAACACTATCTGGACCTTGAATTGACCGATCTTTCGGACATGATACTATACTCTAACGTTATAGTCTTAGGCAGGAGTCAACCATATGAAATCAAAACCATTACATCCAACAGGAAATAATGAAAGATTTAGTCATCAAGTAACCTACTTTATTGTTTTTTTGTCGGTTAACGAAACAAACTACGAAACTGGGAAAATTAAGTGACCACCGAAGAATCTCCTCACAAAAATGGTTCTTCCAGTCGCGTTTCTACGATAGTCCGCATTCACCTTATCAATCACTACCTTCAAACACATATTATGCTTGTACATTCAAATACTCCACCGATCGAACTGCATATGCACGAAGCGCCACATATTTCATCAAACAAAATAAAGGAACCTACAAATGGCGAGAACGAAGCTAGCCCTATGAGTGTTAAGTTGGTAGTCGTCGTAATTTGCAAGGATATAAAAAGACTAAAGATTTGCTCTTTTCCCCTTTTGTACAAGAATTGTGACATATATATGATCTCACTTGTGAAAACTTACACAGAGGCAGAAGGTAAACATGACACGAGTTGGAACTAATTATTTATGATGCCTTATGCCTAGCTTGGGTATATGTATGTATATGTGTGTTAATGTTGTGAAGTGGGGCCAGCTGGGTTGCTCCATTTATCGTCAATTCAGCATTCCATTTTTTTGGAGCTAGCTAGACCCACAATCATATTATCATTCAAAGAAGTATTTCGCGGAAAGAAAGAAAAATTATTATTTATTATTATTATTGTTGGTTAATTGGGATTTATCTGGTTGCAGACTTGTTCTAGTTCTAGACCCACTTGGCTAGGGCTTAGCTTCTCTTGTGTTCATATCGTACCGGAAAACAACAAAGATATTCCGCGGTCCAAACCAACCAGCCACTTGTGTGATTTGTCCACTTCCACTAAATTAAACACAAATAAATAAGTTGACCATCAGCATTATTTTCTTTACTTTTCAACACGCGCGCTCTCTCTCTCTGGTCTCTTCCTTTCCTCCTAAGTATATAACTAGACGGCCAAAGACCAAAGTAAATCTCGCTCGCTCATTCCCTCTCTCCCACCTTCACCCATAAAAATAAAATAAAAAGAAATCATTTTCCCGGCAACCTTCTCCGATGACGGCACGTCAGCACCGAGTTGCCACCTCCTTCTTCTTCTTCCTCCTCGTCACCCTCGTTTTCCTCCTCTCGGTCTCAGCAGGTAAAGTACTCAGCACCTCACCTGCTGTACACTTGCCGCTCCCGGCCTAGACCTCAATTTCAGCCCAGAGCGAGCATGGATATATAATTTTCCCTTTTTTTTTTTGTTTTGTTGGCGGCAGGGGGCGTGATGAGTGGAGAGGCGGCGGAGGGACGGCAGTTGTTCAATTTGAAGCCGAGCAAACTGTTGGTGTTCGGGGACTCGTACGTCGACACTGGAAACATCAGGAAGGCCATCTCCCGCTCCTGGAAGTTCCCCTACGGCCTCACCTTTCCCGGAAAACCCACCGGCCGTTTCTCCGACGGCCGCGTTCTCACCGACTACCTTGGTTCGTTCCTTAATTAATTAATTTCCTCCAATATATATATAATTAATTCATTCCCACTCGCTCGCTCGTAAAAAAAAAAAAAGAAAAAAGAGAGAGAGGGTACAACAATACAATGTGCGGTCGTTCCTTATTTCAGCTTTACCAACTTTCAACTTTTGCATAAAATTCCAATACTTGTTTGTTATGGTTCTGGTTGGGAGATGTGAAAACGGAGAGTTTGTAGTTTTGTCTATTTTAATTTGTTTGCCATGGTTTACAAAGTTTTTCATTCTAGTTATGAATACGCGTATTATATATATTAAGAAATTTTTGTTCGTAGCACTTCATATATATATATATATATATATATGCCTTCTTAACTTGTTTCTTATTGATTGTGTGTGGTGCTAATCGATATAGATGGAATCCATAGACACTTTAACATCACATTTACGATAAGGACTATACAAACCAACTTCTGTTTGTTTCATTTTCAGGTGCTTTGAGCTTAAATTCTGTTATTTTATCCAAAAATTACCATTAGGCAAAAGCTAGCAAAATGAGAGGAGAGGAGAGTTAGTGGGTGGGTGGGTGGGTTGGTCTCTTTTTCTTTTGCTTTGGCCTTTGGTGGCGCTATCGTCTCTTTTGCCATCATTTGGGACACAGTGTGACGCATATATAGTGGAATACTACTCCCCTTTTCCTTTTCGAGTATGTAGTAAGAGTCATGAATACGATCTGTCAAAACTCAAAACTCGGGTGGCCCTTATTATTGAGAGCCAAAGCTGCTATGCTACTGCCCCACTATTCCTTTATTTTGCCTAGCTTTGGGAAGAAATGCAATGCAATGCTAGCTCCGATCCATCCATTGATTCTGCTTCATATGAATATGATCCTCATGATATCTCATCATGACTACTCCTTCACGTGAACTATAGATCACGAGCCACCCAGAAAGCATCCAAGAAGCTAGACTAGTTTTCCTTATGTATATATATTCCCTTTCAATATTAATCAAGTACTTACTTTACTTAGTGCAATGTCTTGTATTATCATGTGTTTGCTTAGCTGGTTTATGTGTCTAATTTAATTATTATCATCATGTTGCTAATTGTCGTCGTATCTCTAAAAAGGCGATATAAAAAAAAAATGGAAATTTGTAAAGAAGAGGGAGGGAGGGGGTATCAATTCAATGGTTTCCTTTGGAAAAGCGATCTATAAAAGTGAGAGCCATATATATATAATCATCGATCAAGTTCCACCCCAGCTAACCCACTACTTTCTCCTCATTTTATAACCTTAATCGGACTACTTTAGCTCATAGGCACATAGCTAGTGGAACCTAACAGCTCATCCGAAAAGCATTTAATTAATTTCGAGTTGTTTTTATCTTGCCCGATTACACACCAGATTTGTACGAATATCCATGAGTATTGTTGTGAAGGGTAAGTGGTAATTAAGCACTATATATATATATATATATATATATATATATGTAATTTGTAAAAGTAATCAGTAAGTTGACTAAATTAGTTTGCAACTTTGGAAACGTATATGATGTGCAGCAAGGTTCATCGGGGTGAAGTCGCCGATCCCATACAAGTGGAGGAAGATTGGGTATAAGTCAGTGAGATACGGCATGAATTTCGCCTACGGCGGGACTGGTGTGTTCGACACCTTGGCTCCGCTGCCCAACATGACTACCCAGATCGATTTCCTTCAACAGATTCTCACCCAAAACACCTACTCCGCTTGGGACCTCCAGAGCTCCGTCGCCCTCGTCTCCGTCGCCGGCAACGACTACTCCTCTTATCTCGCCCGAAACGGCTCTCTTCAGGTACGCTACGTTACGTACGTCCACAAAATTATTATTATTATTATTATTATTATTATACGTCCTATTCTAGTATTCTGTACGTAACGTTCGGCAAATCATTTTGTGATTAGTTACACAAATCAGTATTTATTCATGTAAGATAAGAGTTGTGATTATTTATACAAATGGAACTCTAATTTTTATAACTTGTGTTGTCCATATTATATGAAATTAAATTTGAATTTTCAATATTTTGTAAAAATGTGTTGCATTGTTCATAATATACACAAAGACATGTTCATTAATTAATTTATATATGCCCCTTATCGTATTGAAAATCGAGCGTACGTTATATATGCTTTGACCGATTGAGCTACGCATGGAGTAGCTAGCCCCTTGCTTCCTTGACTTGACTTGACTTGATTTGAGTTAGGTAAATTAATAATTAATTAATTACACCGCGCGCACACTGCATGCCTTAATTAATTCGCGCATGCATGCAGGATCTGCCGGCATTCATATCCCAAGTGGTGAACCAAACGAGCAAGAACCTAATCCGGCTCCACGGCGCCGGCGTCAAGAAAGTAATGGTGACGGGGCTCCCTCCCCTTGGATGCCTGCCGGCCACAACCGCATCCAACTCATTTCAACAATGCGACCAGAGCCTGAATCAGCTCGTCACCCTCCACAACCTCCTCCTAACCCAATCCGTCGCCGCCCTCAACAATGCCACCGGAGGTCCCACCTTCGTCATGCTCGACATGTACGGCGCATTCATGGCAGCGCTGCAGCCGCCGCCCAACGGCAACATTAACAACAACAAGTCGGCGCTGAAGCCGTGCTGCGTGGGGACGAGCGCCAGCGACTCGTGCGGGAGCGTGGACGAGGACGGCGGCGGGAGGAAGAGATACACCGTGTGTCAGGATCCGGAGGCGGCCTTCTTCTGGGACGGCGTCCACCCGACGCAGGCCGGCTGGCGGGCTGTGTACTCGACTCTCAAATCGAATCTTATGCAGCTTTAATTAGTTCATGCTAAGCTAAGGTCATAAATAAAATAATTATAATTGGTTGGTTTGGTGTGATGTCACAGAACAGAAGAAGAACTATGTGTACGTAATTTGGCTGGCTCGTGGCTAGTTTTAGATTAGAGGGTCTGGTTAATTGCAGGTGGTGGTGTTTCTGTTAGTTAACCCACTAAGTATTCAGTTCAGCCTCCATGCCCCAAACTCATCTTATGTTATGTTAAAACCCTTTCAGATTCTTTTTTTCTAGACTGGTGTCATTAGGCTTAAACTTAATAATATTGGGCCTCTGCCCCCTTTTCGTCGAACAAGGCCGGGAAGTCGACATAGAGAAATGGCCCCAATTGGGCTGGGAATGAATGCGAGTCATGCGACTGTTTCGATCTGTATTATACCTATATAATTCTAAGCGACAAACAAAGCCCAATCCTATTTTCTTTTATCAAGAACATAAGAAGCCCCCACTCTCAACAAGAACACAAGAAGCCTAAGTTGGGACTCCTTTTCTGCGATGTTTTAGAAACCGTAGTTGGATCGATAATAATTTAATCACGGTTAAACCACAAATCAAACATATTCTACTAATTAATTTTTCGGTATAAACTTTGGTAGGATTTCACAATCCTTAATTATTTTTTGTCTATAGAAAGTAGAGATTAGCTATGGTCCAATTCATGGGATTTTTCCAATAATAGCACCCTTAAAAAAAAATTACAAAAATAGCACCCATATAAAAAAAATTACAAAACTAGCACCAATTTTTTTGGAACGCACCCCTAAGATGCGTTTTAGATGTAAAACACACCAAACAGATGCGATCTACATGTAAAACGCATCGGAGGGGTGCAATCCATAAAATAAAACGCACCAAACAGATGCGATTTGGGGAGGACGCGGAACGATCTTCAAGATCGTCGGATTGAGGGACGATCCAACGGCTCAGCGCATGCCAGCGGAGCGATCCGCGCCGAGGATCCCAGATCGCACGCCAGCGGAGCAATCCACGCCCAAGGAAACACACATCGCATCGGGAGGGTGCAATCCGCGCCTAGGGAAGCGCAAATCGCATTGGAAGAGTGTGATCTGCGTGAGGGAAAAATTACCGCCTCGCCCCTGGAGCCTGCGATCTGATGGGTATAAATACCCCCCCTTCCCCTCTCATTTCTTCACACCACAACCCATTCTTCCTTCTCTCTCTAAGTTTTATCTCTCTAAACCCTCCCCCTCCCAAAAACCTAGGAAATAGTGGTATGTTGGTTGCGGCAAAGTCCGATCTGCCATCAGAAAACATTTCTTAGGTTTTTTTCTCAAAACCCGCCGAGCCGAAGCTCTGTCCGAATTGCGCCGAAAAAATGGCCGATTGGTGGCAATGAGAAGGAGTTTTTGTTGATGAATTTCAAGCGGTACGTACTCATTATTCGGGTTTAATTTTTGTTGTTGTTATCTTGCTTTTTAATTAATCTATGTACTAACCTCGTTGTTATTTTCTCGTAGGCTGCGGAGGACGTCGATATTTACAACCAACGGTATTATCTCGAGCAAGGACCGTTGGATCCAACCGACTTGTACGACCAACCCAACCATCGGTCAAGGGGTGTTTGGAACGCTCACCCGGTACATACAATTCTTTACCATTTGTCCTTCTTTTATTTTGTTAATGTATTTAGTGGAATATAAAATAAATTAATGTTGAATTTTTAATCGTGTTGGTTGTTTTCAATAATTTAATCGAATACATAGCGCCACTTACTTCGACTCTTTATAAAGAGATGCACGTCTAAGGAAATGGGGTTTTAAGCGATTATCATATCCTCCCATTCCCTGGGAAAATCGGGTATTAAGAGATCCTCGGATCGCCCCTTTTTCTGTCAACAAGACTGCGTTTCTAAGAAGATGTATACCTCTTCTAAGAGTCTAACGAGTGTTGCTTTGTATTCGATTAAATTATTTAAAACAACCAAAACGATTAAATAATTTACCAAACAGTCCTTACGATTTATTTTTATGTGTACAAATGGAATTTTATTAATTTCAAACAATTGAATATGTATGTTTCTCTTTAAAATATTGATTCATTAACAATGTCATTTAATTTAGTTAATTTAGTATGTTTATTTTACGATAATTAGTATGTATCTCTTTAAATTATTATTCATTTAGAATGTTATTATGTTAATTAATTTAGGATGTTCATTTTATGATAATATGTATGTATCTCTTTAAATTATTATTAATTTATAATGCTATTATGTTAATTATATGAAATGTCTTTTTATGATAATAAAATTCTGCTTGAAGTTAAATAAGGATTAAACCCTTACTAATATATAATAATTAACGTGTAAATTTTCCCTAGGAGGCACAAACAATAATCCGCTACAGGGGTACGACCAATGTGCTCCCATTCCACCCAGCCATCTTGCCCTTTCTCAAAAGGCACGATTGGACTCGATTAGGCATTTTAACGGCATCAAAGTTGATCGCCAACTCATCACCGCCCTAGTTGAGAGATGGAGAAAGGAGACCCATTGCTTCAACTTTAGAGAAGGAGAGGCCACCATCACACTAAAGGATGTCGCCATCCTAACCCATCTCCCCATCGACGGCAAACCGGTGTGCGTGAGTGATCATCCCCCCGACGATGTCGACGGTATGCCCGGTTGGGTTCATTTCATCTATAGTGTTTTGGGAGTAAAAGTACCAGTGAAGGGGCAAGTTGATGTGACCGATCGCATGCCACCAATGAGGAAACACCAAGTGTCAATTACTTGGTTGACGAAGTACTTTAGAGAGCATTACGAGAGTCAGACCCACGTCTGTAACGTCTGCATGGTATGTCGGAAATTGATTGACCAAAACAAATCGCACCTCGGCCATGCGATTTTACTAGGTCAGACTTAAAATCGCTCCTTGGCCATGCGATTTCAGTAGGTCAACCTAAAATCGCACCTCGGCCATGCGATTTTACTAGGTCAGACCTAAAATCGCTTGGCTAAAGTGCGATTTGAGTCCAGATTATTGGAACGCATCTTACCAGTGCGATCTATTTGTAAAACGCACTTGTAGGGTGCGATTTATATGTAAAACGCATCTACAAGGTGCGTTCTATTAAAAAGGGTGCTATTAGTGTAAATTTTTACGGATGGGTGCTATTTTTGTAATTTTTTTTTAAATGTGCTATTTCTAGAAAAATCCCCCAATTCATATATATCAAACCAAACCGTATTGCGTCGGCATTCGAATTTGTATTCAAACAAATGAACACATTTTGATTTTATGTTGGTTGGCTGAGTTTGAAGTAAAATGGACCAAAATTGAATTTAGACTAGATAAAATCGAACCAAATATGCTTTTAGTATAAATTTGAAGTAAAATGGACCAAAATTTAATTAAGTTGTATTTATAATTTTCATACAAATTTCTTTATGATACAATCTGAACTTGTACTTTGTTGTTGTACTCATTTAATCTGACAATAAGTTGTTGTCAACAATACCAATTGCGGAGCAATACTAATCACATCTTTGACACTTGTAAATTTTAATGTAGCAGTCAGAATGCCCTAGTGCAGGGATCAAATGTGGCCGACATGTGCATATGGCTTCCTCGTGGTCTAAAATCAACATCAAATGTCTTGCCAAATTAATCATGGCATCATGCAGAATATTCCAAATGGCTTACACTATTGTTAATGTTGTATTTGGTAATGAAATATACACGTCACTTCTATTAACGTACTATTAACTTGTCAATGTGTTCATAATTTATCTGTTAGAAGAAGAGAAGATGCCAGAGAGCCTCTGTTTCCGGAGGCAGAAAGCCGGCGCGCGGAAACAGAGGGGTTAGTTTCGCCGGTAAGTAGTTAATTAAATAATTACCCACTAATCAAAGAATGTGCCTTGGTCGCCGGGGAAGGAAGGAAGAACAAGCTTCGGTTGATGCTCGGAAGCGGAAGTCCCGTGGCTGGTTACCTAATTCCTCCGCCACCTCCAGAACCGCCTCGGCTGCCGCCACCTAAAACCGCCGTGACAGAGGGGAAATCTTGAAGTGTCAGGAAGTTGAAGTTTCTGTCGATCGAAGGATGGAAACAGCCCCGACGGGTGATTGAAGATCCAAATAAAAGAATTGGCGTTGTCGGGGAAGGAAGGAAAATGATTTTTCTTTCCATTTGTGACTCCTTGTTTGTAATAATGGAAACGAGGCAGATAACCAGGAAATTTATGGCTGGAGAAGGAAGATCCGGTCGGGAAATTGGGCGACAGTTTGGGAGGTAAAAGAAAATCCCTTACCTGGCGACCAACATCACCAACAGCCGACGCCGATGGCCCCAGGAGGAAGAGGAGAAAGCCAGAGGGTAATCGGCGCGAGAACGAGCCTCGGATCGGCGGGAACGAGCGCGGAAAATGGGAAATACGGGAGCCCGAAACGCCGAAACGCGAAACGTTTCGGATCCTCAAAACCAAAAACGAAACGCGATAAATTGCCGAGAAAGTGAAATTGCCGAGATCTCGTGATATGACAAAATATCGCGATAAATTACGATATATTGACTTTTTCACGGTATGTTGACTTTCGGCTGACCGGTGAACGGAACCCGCCTTAAACAGTGGGGGAATGACCGGAAAAACAGGGAAAATAAGCAGAGCTCACTCCTGCTGACTTAGCGAAGGCAAATGAAGAAGAATTGGGAAGAAAAAAGACGTGTAGAGTCTTGTAGTTTAGTTGCCTGTAATAATTCCGGCATAGCATCTCTGTATTGTATGAACTACGGACATTCAGCAATGCTCTGTTTTTTCTTCCCAGTGATGCCGGACGACGGACGGCGACGGAATAGGAATGAATTACCTTATGCGCGACGATTTTAGGGTAGTAATCAGTTAGTTACCCACTATTCATCATCGGATCATAAATGTAGTACTGTTTGTTATTCGGTCGGCGAAGCAGGAAGGACGAATTTCCCCTTTTCTCTCTGTTCTTCAACACTCTGTCTTCACACCTCC